ATGTTGACATAATACATTTAATTTAGGGCTGTCAGTCGATTAAAATATTTAATCGCGATTAATCGCATGATTGTCCATAGTTAATCGCGATTAATCGCAAATTAATCGCACATTTTGTATCTGTTCTAAATGTACCTTAGAGGGATATTTTTCAAGTTTTTTAATACTCTTATCAACATATGAGTGGACAAATATGCTTTATATGTTTGTTTATTATCATTTGAACAATGACAAATATTCTCATGAATATTAAACACAACAACCTCTGAACATTACAAATATTCACCTCAATTCAACCTGGAACCTCTCTCATACAATAATACAATACAAAGTGTGTGTGTGTGTGTGTGTGTGTGTGTGTGTGTGTGTGTGTGTGTGTGTGTGTGTGTGTGTGTGTGTGTGTGTGTGTGTGTGTGTGTGTGTGTGTGTGTGTGTGGTGTGTGTGTGTGTGTGTGTGTGTGTGTGTGTGTGTGTGTGTGTGTGTGTGTGTGTGTGTGTGTGTGTGTGTGTGTGTGTGTGTGTGTGTGTGTGTGTGGACACTGTGATGGATCGTTGGAGCTACAGTATGTGCAGCTCAAGGCATATATGCTCGAACGGGAGCTGCAATAATGTTGCGCGTACTATCCGTGCTGAGTGTGCTGACTTTTCGTACAATGTCCCACTGTCTGGCTACCTGCATAAAGTCAAGTGCTCGGCGCAGTTGTCGGCGAAATGTCATTGAAACAGCTCCTTATATCCGTTAGCGCAGCTAGCTAGCACCAGATGCTAACAACAACAACACGTAAGGTGTGCCTCGCTCGCGCGAGTCGCCCCACACATACACACACCCTCCCGGTCCTCCCGATGGCCAGTCCGGGCCTGCCGGTGAGCGTGGAAGTGTGGTCTGCCACAAGCGGGTGGCAGGAGCGGGGCTGTCAGCATCAGCTTGTAGATGGTATTTTACACTCGATGCGCTCTGAAACTACGGGGCGGCCGAGGACAAAAAATACACATGCGTTAATCGCGTTAAAATAATTAGTGGCGTTAATTTTCTTTTGCGTTAACGCGTTATTAACGCGTTAACTTGACAGCCCTAATTTAATTATCAACAATTCCGTTTTTTCAGTGTAGAAATGGATCAGAATGTCTCCAGAAAGAAGAGCTGCAACAAGAAATCCAGAAAGAAGTTGAAGTGGAGAAACTCAATTTGTGAAAGAAGCCAAAAAGGCAGTGAAAATTGGTCGAGAGAACTTTAGCGCTGACTAAAGTTTAAGTTTAATTAATTATAAGTGTTGAATGAAGTAGATTGTTGAAAGGAGGTGGAAGATTCAGTTCAATTTCAAGAACTAAGAGTAACTGACATCATAAAAGTGTGATCATTTCTCAATTAAACAAATAAACATGAAAACTGTGAAGTTTCCAGTTGAAGAACGTTATAAATTATCATAATGTAAACATTTAAGGAAATTGAGATTGAGTAATTGTGTCTTATAATATTATGTGTAACGTAATCATTTCACTCATACATTTTCCCAAACATAACTCTTGGTAAATGTTCACTTCCTCATATTTTTGTATTTCTCTCTGTGGAAATATAATAATCTAAAAGCTGTAACCTCCACTGCATGACTCACTGTCAGTAAAGTATTGTAGATGAGAAAATAAATAAATGAAGCTACCATCGAGGTCAGAGTAAAGCGCTGTGGGCTAAGAGTTATGGACGGTGGTTTAGATTTTCCTGATAATAATCGTCATATCAACATCTGTTGTGGGGGATTTTATTATGTACTTTAGATATAAAATATTTATCCCTGCACCACTCAAAATGATGGATGCATCAGGAAAAGTCTGAATATAACTGCAGGCACCAAACCTTCTCAGTCCCAGAACTCCTACAAGAAACGAGATAAGGAACACAAACTAATAGCTAATATCGGTGTGTCTTATTTGGGCATGGGGAGAAGATCAAATCATTGTAAACAGGATATTATGTTTACATGCAGCAACACCAAAACAGAATACTTCAGCATCCAGAATATTAACAGGATATTGATGCGTAGGGAAATGCACTCCGTCACAGCTGATCAAACGCTCTCTATCGCAGGGCGGCACAGCTCTCTGCACTCTGTTCAGCAGTACCAACATATCTGCACCTCAAAGACATTTCCAGAGGCAATGAGCCTGCAGAAGACACAACGGGCTCAGCTTTGACTGCAGGTGACCGAAAGCTCCTGAATGTCTTTCAAACAACATTTTGACTTTGTGTCCTTTAATTTAATACTAATTATCATTCTGGCTGGAGTGGTAGCGGACAGGGGAAGCTACTTCGAGGTCATCTTAGGTTTTTAAAGGCAAGGCAAGTTTTTTTTAAATAGCACCTTTCAACACAAGGCAAGTGCTTTATAAAAATGAAAGACATTAAGAGCTTTAAAGGTCCCCTATTATACTCTTTTTCATCAATATATTATAGCTCTCAGTTATACAAAACATGTCTCTGAAGTGTTTGGCTCCAAATACCAAACATATAATGCATTGTAGCATCCCATAATCCCCTCTGTTTCAGCCCTGTTCCAAAAGTGCTGATTCTCTGTCTTTTACTTTAGATGAAAATAAGGAGCCACTCCCCACGCCCCTCTGAGAGATATATATATATATTTTTTTTTAAAACACAATGGTGCTCAAGGAGGAGATTCAGGTGATAAGGTGGGGGGGGGGGTTACCTTAGTTGGTTATTGGCTAATGGTTACACAAGCCAAAAAAACGTTATGACATCACAAAGTGGCCAAAATCTGATCAGCTCATTTTCAGACAGGTTTTTATCCAAATGGATCAGGACAAAAAGTGAGCGAATCTTTTTTCCTGAAACACATTTTCACATTGGATTTTGCATACTACTGTAGGTGACCTTTAAGGCAAAAAGAAAAGTCTTCGTCCTGGATTTTAAAGATATTTGGAGCATAATAACTGAATGCAGCTTCTCCATGTTTAGTTCTGACTCTGGGGACAGAAAGCAGACCAGTCCCAGAAGACCTGAGAGTTCTGGATGGTTCATAATTTAGCAGGAGATCAGAAAATTCAGTGCTTTATAAACCACTTGCAGTATTTTTAAATCAATTCTTCGACAGACAGGAAGCCAGTGTAAAGACTTCACAACTGGAGTGATGTGATCCACTTTCCTAGTGTTGGTGAGGACTCAGGCAGCAGCGTTCTGAATAAGCTGCAGCTTTCTAACAGATATTTTAGTGAGACCTGTGAAGACACCGTTACAGTAGTCGAATCTACTGAAGATAAAAGCATGGACAAGTTTTTCCAAATCCTACTGTGACATAAAGGTATGCTGCTAGCTTGCTGTCAATTGCATTGAGATTTTACAGCCAGTAAAGGTTGAAATAAACTTTGACCGGTGGTAATTTCTCAAAGCATATCTGATAAATAAAAGCCTGCGGTGTTACCCACATTGATTTTCTCATCACTGCTGATCCCCATGCTGACACTGGCAGCATTGTCTATTTCCAGTATTTGGCTCACATCTAAGTACAGTCATCACCCTCTGAGAAAAACACTGTATTTATATGACTCGTGTACTTGTCGGGAACAAGGAGAGATATAAGGAGGTGAATTAAAGAAAATAAACGAAGGAAGCTGAGATATTGGAGGAAAATAGAAAGGAACAGAAGCAGGAATGATATCGCAGAGAGGGGGTAGAAAAGGAGGGAGGAGAGAGAGGTGCTTTGGGAGCTGAACATTATTTAGACTAAATGAGGTCAAGACCTTGAGATATACCCTGAATCTTAAGTGTGTGTGTGTGTGTGTGTGTGTGTGTGTGTGTGTGTGTGTGTGTGTGTGTGTGTGTGTGTGTGGTGTGTGTGTGTGTGTGTGTGTGTGTGTGTGTGTGTGTGTGTGTGTGTGTGTGTGTGTGTGTGTGTGTGTGTGTGTGTGTGTGTGTGTGTGTGTGTGTGTGTGTGTGTGTGTGTGTGATGCCTCATGCCTCATGCAAACACATTTACACATCATTCACTTTCGGCCTGCGTCTTCCTCTCGTACCACATTGACTTCTCTCTCTGTCTCTTATTCCTTCTCCATTGTTGCGGGGTAATAAGGTCACTCGACCTTACATTGACCGCTCCTTCCTGCATCGGGCACTTCCTACACGTCGCCTTGGGAACAGACAGCCAATGGCAGAGCAGATCATAGAGCAAAGGTGTCCTGCTAGTGCGGACTGCTATATCACTGTCTACACATTTGAATCCTTTTTGGTAACAACCGCAGCACACACACACAGCACTGTAGCCCCTTTACTGTTCACTCTTCATCCGAGAAAAGGATGTAAGGTACCACCTCTGTGTTTAGTTACAAGTTGAGCCGAACAAAGCACTTTCAGAGAGGGCGGCGGCGGCGGCGAGGTTTTCATTTTGACTCGAGTAACAAATACAAAACTATCTGCCTTGACATCAAACAACACCGAAGCAATAAAGGGGGTCTTGAAATTCAATTTCAAAGATCGCAATCGCGCTAATGTTCACCCACAGTGCCACAATCGACCAGCGTGCCAATGTGTGTTTTAAAGTTGTATGTTTTGAAGATGTGTATTAAAACAGTGTCAGGTTAACCTTGAGGTTTTCATTGAGGATACCAGACAGTCACCCGGTGTGTGTGTGTGTGTGTGTGTGTGTGTGTGTGTGTGTGTGTGTGTGTGTGTGTGTGTGTGGTGTGTGTGTGTGTGTGGTGTGTGTGTGTGTGTGTGTGTGTGTGTGTGTGTGTGTGTGTGTGTGTGTGTGTGTGTGTGTGTGTGTGTGTGTGTGTGTGTGTGTGTGTGTGTGTGTGTGTGTGTGTGTGTGTGTGTGTGTGTGTGTGTCCATTGATTCAAGTGCTCTGTTTTTGAGGCTGTTCTGCCCCACTTACACCAACACCTGTTTTCACTGCTTTGTCCAACAATTTGTTCGATGTCCATGCTTTGTCTGCTCTCTGTTCTCACAAAGAAATCATTCCCCCTCTGTTTCTGCTGCTCTCTTTGTCTCTAGTTGATGGGGTTTATCTACGCCTGCTATGTGGTCAAGCTCATTTCGGAGGAAGAGGATAGCTGTAAGTACACAAACACACACATTGACCCACCCTGCATGTCTTTACTCATACCACTGTAAAAGATACTGTTTCTATCCATTTCCTTTTCACTAAGTCTCGCCATTGTCTCTACACTTGTTAAGCGTTTCATTCTGCACATATGAAGTTTAAAGTGATAATGGAAGCCGCTTTAACATCCAAGTTCTTTGTCATTTTTTAAAAGTAGCTCCTTTTTTTCAGATTGAGGAAGAAAAAAGCTAGCGCCCCATTTCCCAGCTAATTAGGCTTACAAAAGCACAAAGAGCTGGATGAAAAGCCTGTTTCCAGCTTGTTTGAAAAAGAACACTTAAATACGCCCTTCATGGCTTCACACATAACATTGTGCTATTAGGCTGTGTGGAATAGACGTGAAAAAAGGAACAATATTGTTTTATTATGTCAGTGAAAAGCTACTTGGTCCTTGTATTGTGAGTATGATAAGGAATAGTGCACAATCACACTGATATTCCTTCTATCATAACACTTCTGCGCTTTATACATTACATTTATGTTCATATTTTCAAACAGTATTTTCTTGCTTTTTGACATTAAAGAGGACGGGCTTTAAGGAGCGTTGGCTGGTGGTTGTTGGAGTGCTGACAAACACTCTGCTTCATCTATTGCTTAAACTTTTGCTCTTGTGTTTTTCATTTTGGAAAGGTCAATACAAGACAAATCCCCCCCGAAACTCTTTAAATGTCAAGTATCACTCTTACTACAGCCCTCAAGTGTACTTGAAAATGTGACAAAAATGCAAGGACCTGCCGTCAGGGTTTCCATCCAAATTGGTTTTAATCTCAAACGGGAGAAAATCCAGGTCAAATATGATCTGTTTATTAGGCTAATAAACAGATCATAAACAGGCTATATAAAGAATAATGCCTAGCCACTGCATTAATGGTCTCTCCAACTTCAGACCGTAACTCACCCATCTTGTTTACAAAGATCCGTACCACCAATATGTTTTCTATATAAGGATAAATGGAAATGTCCTGTTATAATGTAATCCAAAATGTGTAGAGAAGTTGAGTTGAGCTCATTGGACTTATTATTGTACAATCCCTTATAGTAATCGGCAGCTTCTGGAGGGGGTGATAGCTTTTTGGAGTCATCATCATAGACATTATTACCCAAGAGATACTGATCCGACCGATTTTCCCGATCCAAAAAAATGTGATTTACCAATTAGATATATTTGATGTAGTTTAAGTTGTATTTGATGTGTGTCGTTCTCCTAAGGCTAATACATTAATAATAAACAGGCTATATGAAGAATAATGCCTAGCCACTGCATTAACGGTCTCTGCGACTTCAGACCGTAACTCACCGTCCCCTTTTGAAAGAGGAATCAAGTCAAACTTGTTAAGTGAATGCAATCTGTACATTCACTCCCTTGGCGCTGAAGCAGCAGGTTTGAATGAAGCCATCTCGGACTGGAGGGAGTTTACTGATACTTCAAGTTGGAATTCAAAGTGAAACCTGTAGCCTCCAGCTCATTCATTTACAGTGGCACACAGAGAAGGAGACGAGAAGAGAGAGTGTGTGAAGGAGTGCTCGGTAGATTCATGCTCGATCAAAGTTGTCTTTCATTCGACTTCTCTCCTACATGCTCACCACTTTGAACCACCATCACCAAGCAACAGGCACAGGGGGGAGTCAAAAAGGGAGGGAAAGACCAACACAAATGTTTAATTAATCTTTATTCAATGTTTTATCAATGCATCTAATCATCTTTACAACCATTGGGATGAATGAAACTTCTACAGTCAAAGACTAGACAGTATCAATGAATTGCATTTGAAGTGTAATACCAGTAACAAGTGGGGAAATGAGGCAAATCAACATCTTAATTCTGCGATATTAGTATTTTGAAGGCAGCGTGTTCCTTTGAGCATTAATTTAAATGAGCCCATTTACATGAGGCCATCAGTTTAGTTATTCCATTAAAGTAGACTCTTTGCAGGAGGATCAATACGCAGCCATGTCTTATTCAACACTGAATTGAGAGTGGTCTTTGCGAACACATCAATATTGATAGGTGATAAATGCAGACTGAATCCATGGAAATGATTCAAAGAGCTGAGAATAGACACATTTGTATTTATTATTTGCATTTGTTATAAAACTGCAGTTCAATGCCGGGTAAGACCTTTCTACCGTGAGGTCACAGATCCTTTTTAAATCATCACAATGTTAACAAGTTAAAAGTCATGTAAGGTTGAATTGATCTCAAATGTATGGAGTATAATCAAGTTTCAGGGGTTATTCTGAGACGTTTTTTGGTAGCACTGCATTTTAATAAGCTTTGTGATGACAGGAAACCTAAAATGCCACTTGTTTTCCGTGTCTGAATAATTAATGTCTCACACTTATTATTTGGCCTTTGCTTCACTGTTGTATTTTGGCCCTTGGCTGTCGATACTGCACATTTTAGCTTTATTCGCAGCCTGAGAGTGAGATCTTGTTAGATATAAACAACAATTTCAGTGCTGTGCGCTGTGTTTCTATGCCAGAGTTCATGTGCTTAGTGACATGCCAAATGCGGCTTGTTAAATTCTCCCTGTAGCAACTGAAATATCTGGCAGAAGCTTTAAATGATAACCTTTAGTTTCCCGTTTTAAGCCCATATAAAGACCATCTTATCAATCAGCTGAGTGATGGCGACCGACACAAACACATTATTTACGGCTAAAGTTAAAACAATTTTTGGTGTTTCACATGAGAGATTTTAACCTCGCTTTTCTCACTTGTTCGGAAAGTATGATGTAACTAAAAGGCATCTCTGAGAGGATAGACCTCCGCCAAGGCCAAATACCTTGCAATATCGACTAAAGTGAAAAGTATGTGTTTATTCAGGCTGTGATTTGGATCAGCTCCACATTTGAATTCTTCCTTGGCCCATGCTTCACCCTTAAACCAAGTTGAATGAAGACAGAGCTAGTCGTTTTTCTGTAACCCTGCTGACAGAGACAAACAAATCAAAAACATAACCTCCTTGGTGGAGAAAACAATGTGCAATATTTCCATGCAGTATGACATTTAAATGAAACTAAAGCAATGAAAGTTGTGTGATTGTTTGCCAATGTTGCCAGAACTTTCCAAAACAGAGTCCTGATGAAGCATATGTGAGTTTTAAGGGTTTAAACAAATACTTAAATTGTTCATTCAAAATGTAGCTAGCATAAACTGTCAGACTAAGACAAGAATATTTTACTAATATCTCACTCTCAGGCTGCGAATAAAGCAAAAATGTGCAGTATCGACAGCCAAGGGCCAAAATACAACAGTAGCCAAATACAACAGTGAAGCAAAGGCCAAATAATAAGTGAGAGACATTAATTATTCAGACACGGAACAAGTGGCATTTTAGGTTTCCTGTCATCACAAAGCTTATTAAAATGCAGTGCTACAAAAAAACGTCTCAGAATAACCCCTGAAACTTGATTATACTCCATACATTTGAGATCAATTCAACCTTACATGACTTTTAACTTGTTAACATTGTGATGATTTAAAATGTATCTGTGACCTCACGGTAGTTTTAAAGAAACACATTAAGTTTTTAGGGCCGTAAAAATATTCAGAGGTATTTCACCACTATGCATTAACAGCTAACCATCTATTGCTTGTGTGGTTAAAAGTGTTTTGGGAGCTAAAGCCAAGCCCCTGGGTAAGAGTCGGTGTACACCCTCGAGAGGTCGCCAGTCTATCACAGAGCTAACACATGCAGACAAACACATTCACACAACACGGCCGATTTAGTGCTTCAGGGACATCTCAGTTGTATATCTTTTTTTTTTACTTTGCACACAAATAGGCAAACATACTGTAAGCCACACCTGTCATTTCCCCACTTCTTCTCAAGGAACAAATGTGATCAGATGGATTGAAATGAAAGGTTTGAGGCTTCATGAATATGTACTCAATGGCAGCGTCATGTCACATGCATCATTTTCAATGTGACAAGAAGATAATTCTCTCCAGTGTGATTTTTGCATTTGTGGTAATCCTGTGTTTGCTGTTCTGTAAGTCCCTAACACGGCTTCGGGAAAAAGCTCTGCGCGATAATGCAGTGTGGAAGACCAGACAATAATCAGGGAGCTTTGTAGGGAAATGTGCCTTGGGTGAAAACGCTAATACTCACCGAGGACCAATGAAGGTTTTTGAGTTGCTGAGAAAGCTAATTACACTGATAATTATTCTGTGCATGTGTGAACAAGTCTGTGTGTGATAAAGTCTGTGTGTGTGGATTTTGTGGTTGTATCAGTGTGTGGGACATGATCATAGTGATGCTTATCCGTCTCAGTGCTGCATGAATGTGTCAGACAGATTCATGTCAAACATCTGCCTGGAATCTTTGTCTGATCATTCTTTAAAGAGGCCCATTCATTCAGGTTCATATATTTTCCGTTCCATCATTGTATTTTGTGCCTCTGACATGTTTACATGCTTTAATGTTCAAAAAGCTCTTTATTTTTCTCATACTGCCTGTGCTGCAGCACCTCTGTCTGAAACCAGAGCCCAGTCTGCTCTGATTGGTTAGCTGGCCGGCTCTGTTGTGATTGGTCAACCCCTTAGAGTTGTCCCGCCCCTTAGCGTATCACGTACAATGTGTTGGAGCGCTAGACAGTAGAAGCATGTGTGTTACATCGTGATGTCACTATGGTATGTAAACAAGGAGTCCAATGGAGGCGTTTCAGGCAGTGGGAGAGAAGGAACTTTGGGATTTAAGCCTTTGCAGACCATTTATATGCACACAAACCTATATGACACACTCCATAGCGCCCCTTTAAATGAGTGGAATCCTTTTTAAGTGAAAACTCACAACTGGGAAAAACCACAATAATTTTAAATAATCTCATCATCATTGTTTATTTAATCACAAGTAAAAAATTGCCATCAAAAGACATATTGGAGACATCCGACATGTGGTTTACCCTGATAAGATATACGAAGCTTGAAAATAGTAGCCTAGACACTAAACATAAATCTTTTACATTATATATTATTAACACATCTAGAAATGGAGGAGTTCATGTATTATACAGAAAATGTACAAGTCAAAAAACATCCCAAACATTTACCAAAAACTCAACTACTCTAATCCTAACTACTAAATGGCCTTAAATATGTATTTCATCAGTCTTAACATCGGTTCAACATAGGTAAGATATATTCAACACAGAATGTGGTCATACAAAATCAGAACATCTGTTCTTTAATAGATCAGACTGCAGTTTCTGGGGCAATTGTTCCTCTTCTCATTCGCTCGTTGGACACCCCCAGCCCCTTATGAATAACATCAGAATGTTAAAATGAGCCTCTATTCAGCTTGATAGACAGCGCACTGACGAGGTTAGAGGCTCCATTTCCTCTTGCGTTGGAAGGGTCGAGCATGGCAGAAAGTCTGCTGAGATGATTTGACTGCAGCATGAATCAGCAGGAAACCCTTAGCGTTCACACCGGGCCATTCTGCCACAAAAAGGATCCTCACAAAAGAAAGGCAGAGGCAATGTCTCCTCTGCATTGTCTGACTGAACAAGCACAATGAGCACAATGATCATCAAAATATCACATTATTGCAGCAGTCGAGAAAACCGCTGACAGACAAAGAAGATCATCTGTTGTCCCGTCGTGTGGTGTAATCACAATTTCACATGAATGCATTAAGAGGATTAAGTGAGAAGTGTGAAAAGACGTTGTGGCTTATGGTGACATTCTTTTACCCAACTTCGACAGAATTAAAGAAGAAGATTATTATGTATGAACAGATAGATTGAAGATGATCAGTTTGTTGGTCCGATTCACTAAAGCTTGGTTTCTCTTTTTTTTAAGTTGTTTTCTTTAGGTAAGAAATATACGAAAAATAAAATGTACCTTGTCTTCTATAGATCTTAAACTATTATATATACTTTTCTTTTTCTCTAGGTCATTTTTCATTGCTTACAGTTAGTTCAAAATGCAGCTAGCAGGCTGAACACTAGAACTAGCCGTCGGTCTCCTCATATGCCCCGCTCTTGCGTCCCTCCAGACGAAAATATCCTGTTGATTACATTTAACGCACTTCATGACTAGTTCGGATTTATTTTTTTTATTTTTCATCCGCTCAAATCCTCAAATATCGGCCTGTTATGCCACCCCTGCTCCAAATCCAAAACAAAAATGTATCGCTGGTTAGCTTAGCTTAGTTTAGCATAGAGGCCGCACATAGGGGTAAACAGTAATCATGACTCTGTTTAAAGATCAAATCTGCCTTTGTCTGACTTACTTACATAATATTTAGTTTGTCAAATCTGGTTAAAAACAAAAAAAAAGCAAAAAAAATGTGTGTTATTGAAAGCGGGTGAATACAGCTATATAAAGACAGACAGTAAAACAAAAAGTGTTCCTTTTAACATTAAAGCATGTACACATATTCTATTTGAAACCAAAAATACAAGCATGATACATAAAGCATGATATTGTGTCATTTAAGGCGAGTATGTTCTGAAAGCCAAGAAATGAAACCATAACCGCACCATTACATATTCATGTGTTTTATTTATGGTATTTTAAATAGAGGCATAAACATGCTAATTAGCGTAAAAGGTTTGGTTTCCACATCAGGTTTGGTCTCATATCCCTGCTTCTTGCCGACTTAAGGTGTACTTAAAGCTACTTTCATCTCCACAGTGACAGCCAAATACCACATTGTACTTGACGCTAGGAAACCTCACTCAATAAATAAGAAAGTGCGCTCCTGATCAAGGCAAGGAAGTACCCTTTTATGAGCTCGACAACATCAAAGCCCAACAAATATACATCATGGCTTCCTCTCTTCAAAAGTCCAGACGCTCTGCCTCAGCCCGAGAAACTGGCGAGCCATCCTAGATAATTTAAGAGTCAAGAGTATTCTCAAGGCATAAATATACCGCTCCATAAGTCCTCTTCAAAATAGAATTACATCTGAGTCACATTGTGGTACAGTTGAGGCAACATTTAGTTTTGAATCATTTGAATGCCAAAATCTGCCATTATCTAGTCAGAGCAGCAGCGATTAAGGTGGTGTTTCTGGTACACGATGTACCGTAGAGACGTCTGTTGGTGTAGGAGGCCCGACGCAATGAATCATCTGTGGTCGCAGGCTCCCAGTTGATAACCACAAAGGATTTCTCTAATTGGTGCTTTGTCTTTTGTTTTGTGCAGTTGATTTTATAGGAGGGTTCGACTCGTACGGCTACCAGGGCCCTCAGAAGACCTCCCACCTTCAGCTACAGCCCATGTACATGTGAGTATAGCTGAAGTCTGTGTAATCATCATCTTTTAATCACATTTGATCACATAGGCACAATATTAGTCCCAATTATTATAATACGTGCATGTTTTGTGTTTTCATTTCTCACATCCTTAAACCCTCCTAAATCCAAACCCGCTATCAACAGCAAACATCGTTAGGGGACGTTTCTCTGTGTTTAATATCTGGAGTTCTGCAGTGAGGCTGATATTAGCACATTCTTGCCGCATCAGCGTAAGTGTTTATCATGTATCAGCCCAAGGTCTCTCTTAGAACTTGTTGTAGCGCTTTAATATCGCTCCCTTCACAAGTGGCAAATAAATGTGTTGTGTGTGAGAAAAAAACAATTCTAGCTAAAACTGTTTATCAGCTGTTAAACCCAAATTAACTGAAAAGGGCATCCTCCTGATGTAATCCTTGTGCGATTTGTTGTTTTGGAAGCTTTTATTTTGTAGTTTATACAGTGATTTCCACAGACTCAAAACAACAAATGCCAGTTTGTCAAGATCTTCAGCTTTTCTTAGGCCCCGGAAGCCTATAGGATAACACAAAAGGAGTCTGAGTCCAGGCTTAGACATCCCAACATCAATCTGAATGCACTAAGCAAGAAAGCAAAAGTACACTGTTACAAATAACAAACAGAAATAGGACTGATGTGCAGGAGACAGGTGATCAATAGCTGTTTTTATTAGACGAAAGAGCCGGGGCAAATTAGAGCCAGAGGCAGACGGACAGAGAGAGAAATTGAGATCAAGATGGGCGAGAGACTAGTAGATAGGTAGAGAAAACACAGAGTGATGGATGAAAGGTAGGACTAAACAAAGAAGAAAGGCAATAAAGGGCCCTTCTGTAGTTTTATATGTCCCCTGTGGAAGTCATAACACAGATCATAAATCATCGACCCCCAAGATAATGGCTACAAACACAAACACACACTTTCGCACGATAGCTCAAGCGTGAATACACACATCTGTAAATGTGCTGATAGACGTATTGTGCGCGTACCCTTATGCGCAAACAGATATCGACATGCTCGTGTATGCACACACACACTTGCACAAACATCATCAATATGCTATCATTGTTCCCCAGCTGTTGTCCCTTCACTTTGGTGTTTATTGGCCCCGGCCACAGGGACCAATAAAAAAAGGATCAGCTGTATGGTCCCAGTGGAAATCTCCAACACCCAACTACCCACACACACAAAATAACTTCACAAACATTACCGCCTCCGGTATTTTGTTGAAATCTGCACTTCTTTGCAAAGACATAAAAAAAAAGATCAACTTATTGTTGACCTTCAAAAGCATGTTTTTCTCTGTGTGCATTCAAATGAGAGTTTAGCATAATCTAAAAACATCATCACATCTAACATCACATCTTTTTTTTAAGACAATTGATGTTTTATTTATCCATCTGTTTTTACAACCTCACGATTCAGTCCTTGGTTGCACTTGTAGCCTATTGTCTTTCTCTGAGCTTAAAGTTACATTAGGAATTATGAAACGTTGATGAAGAAACTAATTTAAGCATTTCTTAAGTCAAGGGTGGATTAGTATCAGTGCTATAAGAGGGACATTTCCTCAAAGAAACGTAAATAGTAAACTTATTTTAGAGTCATACAGTAGCATAGCTAATGGACTACTTACTCACTAAACCGTTATAGGAGAATCCTACACTAATAAACTGCTCTAACTACCTCTCTTCAGCATTAAGCTAAGTTGCTTAGCTATCAGGGGGACATTACGTATTTTTTCAATATAACTTTATATTAATATCGCTAACATTAGCCACCGTAAGCTAGTTTTAGAACTGAGTAACGGTGCGTTTTACAGCCAATTAATTCAACTTTTCATGTTTATTCTGCTAAAAGTAACATTGTTCCATTTATATTGTGTCAAGAATTTGTTGCTAACAAATTAAATAATTAGCTCTTTTCTTCTCACTTTTCCTGTTTTTGTCCTTAATAGTTGGGAAGAAAGTATCAAAGTCAGTATGTCCTCAAGCGGCCTCTTGAGTATTATCTTTTGTAAAAATACACAGCACAAGTGCTTCAGCTGTCCTCATTGAACATTATGTTGTTCAGCCTATTTGCCAGACTAATTCACTTTATCAAGGACAATCCTGAGCAAATGCACCGCTAAGCATTTAATCACAAACCTCTTAATCTTTACTGTACTCAATTATACCTCAAGCAGTTTTGTTTTAAGTGGTTCACATTAACATGTACTGCTAAATCTATACTAAAGCAATAAATGGGATTCAGTCACTATTTCGTATAACCTTCTTCTCTCCTCTTTTTTCAGGTCAAAGTAAACCTAGGAGCGCTGCCTTACCAACCACCGCTGCTCAACTTTTACCACAGGATACAGAGGACACTAAGATATTCTGCTTCACCTCCAACCCCCCCTTCCAGTACTTTGTCACATTGCTTCCCTGGTCTGTCTTTCTGCTGTTTTGTAATGGAGTTAGTTCTGTTCGTGATGAAACACTGGCCTCGTGTGGTTGAACACTGTAACTGTGTGAAACACCAGTACAAGCAGCTCCGGTAACAACTGCATTTTCTTCTTGAAGGAAACAACAGGAACCAATGCCTTGCGAAAGAAATTGTTAAAGAAACCAAAAGGATGTAAAGATCAGGATTCCAAGATGTTAACACTTTTTCTTCAAGCTGCTGCAGACAATGCAGATATGCCTGACCAAAGAGTAAAAAAAAAAAAACACATCCTCACGTAAACAGAAGAGCCTGTTAAACCATCTCTGGAAGGTTTTGCTCTTTGTGCCTGACACATCAGACACTGGACTTCCAACCATACTGACCCTGCATCTACTAACAAGACGACCGATATAGGAATGTCAGAAATATTTTCTACAGTTTCTGATTGGTGCACGTTTTGAGCTTGTCTCCAGACTCAAGCTCGAGCACACACCACACGTTTTCATCTGTCGTTTCATCAGAAACGTTGAATGTCAGTGCGACAGTTAGATTTACATACTTTCATTTAAAATGTGCATGTGTATAAAAAACACACAGGCATGAACTGATGCATATGTGAATTCACACACACACACACACACACACACACACACACACACACACACACACACACTAAACAGATGTGTTCACGTTTCTACTGCTAATGTGAATCTTAACAATGTTTACAATAGAAATTCAGTCTGCCGGACAGAGAGACTGACATACAGGAGACTTTTAAGGTCTCGCATCTCAAAGGCTACGGGGTGTTTTCTGCCACATTAAACAGACAGAACAGATGTTCCACATGTGTCCTCCGGTCTCTTGCTGTCTAAATACTTTGTCTTCCATCCAAGACAGACCGGTAGAGGTATATAAAGACAGAACATGACAAAGAAAACAACCCCAGGAGAGGGATTGAGGTCAGGCAACAGTTTCCTTTCCACTTCAGTCCTTTTGTAGCTTCCCTTGTCACTCGCCCATCGTTAAAGCAGGCAAGTTTTTCCCTGCAGTATTTCTGAATAATATTTTTTTTAAAGCTGGCGGTCAGATCAACTGTCCAATCTGCCAAATCTGAAGCATCCAGCTCATCTGAATAACAGAAATAGTTCACACTCTTCCACAGGCATACATCATGAGAAAAACAAACACAACGTTTAACAGAAATGACAATCACAGTTAAAGTGACCTGAATTTGATCATTGATTGGCATCTTTTTGTACCATAACAAATGTGACATAAAGCTGAAAAATGGCCATCATTGCATCTAAGTTAGTAAGTTAATGTTTTGATTTATTTGTTGCATATTCAAACCACTAGAGGATGAGATTGTTGAAAAAAAGGAGAACTAAATGACTGAGGCTGAATCTGCGCTGACACTGCAAACGTTCGCCCTCGCCTGCAGACTAACAAGGACAAAGACGGTACCAGAGAGATTCCAGAGTCACAGCAGCTCCCTCTCTTCACCTCACCACTCAAATGTTAATGTTGAAAGTGCCAACCATATCACCACATCCGTGGAGCCTAGTTTCTGAAATCCACAGACTGGGAACAAAAATAATGGGTCTCCGGTTCAGTTTCTTGGGTTTCCATGTAAGAAAAATAGATATACAGCAAGGATATAAAAAAGCAAAAAAAAACACATTTGCGTTCATTGCTGCCAGCAGATTTTTTATTTTATTCTGCTCAGAAAATTCAACTGATTCCTTCTGGAAACGTAACTTATCATGTTGCATTTGTGTTGCAATCACTGGACCAAAAGTTTGAGGCCTTCTCCGTCAACCAAGGAACATTTCTGTGTGGTAACACAGGCATGACGATGGACTATTCCCTCTACAAGCTACAAAGTCCACCCCCCTCTGCCAGATATCTTCAGCAGTTCTTGTTTTGTAACAAAACTCTGTGGGTACGTTCAGAGTCGCTGCCCCATGAGGCTCCACCGAGAGTCACTCCGGAGGACAGAAACAACGTTGTGTGTGTTTGCATGAGGTGTTTCCAAACTGTTGCGTATTTAATCTCATGCTGCGTGTGACTAACTAGCTACTTAAGATGGGAACTGTTTGGTTTGTTGAATGCTCCTCAACTCTCTTCAAAGAGTCCTAAATGTGAACTTTGTGATTTTTCTATAAATAACAGTCTGAAATGTCTGCTGAGTAAAGGAGATAAAATAGCTACTACAACGTAAAACGACGAAATGTAACTTTGAACTTCTAGACGTTTTTTAATCACATGTGGCCGTGTTTACTGTTTTTTCTAGTTGACTACTAATGTATGATGTTGTGTACAAGTGGGACTACTGTGTTTTATTTCTTCTAATTGTACAGTGTATTTTGAAATGAGAGAGTAAGAGGAGAATGGGAGGAAAGGGAATTAGTTGCACTATAGTCTGTAATTCTTTTATTCACCTTTCTGTCAGGGCAGGAAATTCACTTTCACTTCACCGGATAATTAGCATTACAATTTTAATTTAGATTTGAATCGTCAACCAACACCAATGATTTCTATTTCATAAATGAATTCACTGCAGATGAAGCGTCTTGTTGAAACATTCAAATCAGTAACTAAAGCTGTGAATATTATTAGAAGCATAATTGAAAAAGATAGTCGTTGGTGTAATTAGCAAATTTGAACTGAATCGGAATTTATTTGTTAATTTGTGTTTAATGGAGACGATTAATTCAATTTCACCTGGTATTGTGGAACCAATATTAACGTCAATCTGGCAGGAAATAGAGAAGATTTCGGATATATAATGTAACCCAAATGTATGTGTATGTATGTGTGTGTGCTTGGGTGTGCGTTTGAGACCTTGTACTGCAGTTCATTGTACTTTTCTGTCATGGTGAACTGAACAACGCTTAACCCAGAACCTGCAAAGCTGCGACCTCATCACAAACAAAAAAGGAAATAGAAGAACTCATCAAATGTCGTAAAAACAGCAATAACAACCGTAATAATATATTTTAAAGTAATAATGAAGACAGAATCTCCAGTTTGTTATTTATCTTCACAGTTGCTCGATTACATTTAGACTTTGGAACAGTCAATAGAGCTTTTTCTCTGCAGATCTAAGATTGCACATCTGTATATAAAGTGTTAAACATTTGCAGAAGAAGCTCGAGGCAAGCCGTTATTTTGTTAAATGTTGTTGTTGCAAAGTTCTAAATCTGTACTAATAGTTCAAAATCCCTCCTTAAGTATAACTACTCTATTTTAAGCCTACACATTCTATCAATAATTCATTGTTATTACTGAAATAAATAAGTGTATGAATAATAACAAATGAGAAACAGTATAAATGATTTGATAAATATTTGCGTATTTAACAAATGCAAAGCCCATCAAACTTTAAATATTTTAATAAAATGTTAAATATTTATGACTTAATTGGCAACAATTAAAGGTTAAGGGTGATGACACATATTTAGGTTTTATTTATTAAGAGAAAACCATTTAAAATCTTAGATAATGTTTTTCCTCTGAATTATGTGGATGTGGCAGATTTAATTGTCAGTGTCCAACTATCATCATGTTTGGATTCAAATGTAGCTTAATTCACAATATAATTAAGAAAATAGGTGTTCTGGGTCTTAAAATATTACGTTTGGTGCTTGCATACTTTGTTTAATAAGAAAATGCAGCTGTTAAAGGGACACAAAATTATAATTGGAATGTCATGCAAAAGAAAACTGTATAGGACCCATTACAGAACCTTGAGGTACTTCCCAGCTTAATTTAGCTTCTAAATACAGTTATTAGACAACTTCTCATCTTAAAGAGTAAACGTTTGTCCTACAAATTGTTTAATACTCTGAAAATGTATTGCCCTATATTTTATTTTTTAACGCACCAGAAACAAGCATGTTATAGGAGTATTTAGAAAGTGCAATAACACATATTCATAATACCTTCGACAACTATTCACAATGTCAGTACGTCATCAATGCAGGAACATGCCAGTAAAGTGGCATTATCCAAACTATGTGGCTCTGGGTTGACTTGGTAATGTTCACCATTGACTAGAACATCTATGTGGGTGTCTTCTCTTTTTATGATGGTTTTCCCACAGGTGACTGACTGTACATAAACTAGACAGTTGGGAATAAAGTAGACAGTGGAGAAGGAAAGTTTACATTGTGTCCTCGTTTATTTTGTGTCCTCAAATCCTTTACATTTGCTACATTGTGCATGTGAATAACAAAGTCTTCAAAGTCCTGGGGGTTGAGTTTCTGCTTTCTAGCTAAATGTTTTGTAGAATTTCAGTTAAGAAAAGAAAGACAATTAAATACACTTACAAAGTGACTGAAAAGATGCGAAAGCTGTGGAAACAGGATCTAAAAAACAGCTGAGGGTGACATCACACATATCCTAGTGATATCGGTATGTCCTTAACTAAACACACACACACACACACACAAACAAATCCTTGCCAAGTCATTGCCGGGAAGCACTATTGTTCCTTGGCAGAGGAAACATACTGGTAAACATTAAGGGGAATTGAGTGGGTGGTATTCTTACATGCTCATGTAGTGCTCAAAGGTAAATTCTGTATTAAAAATCCTACAGAAAAATGGTTTTACAGTAAAAAAATAAATATCTACCTTATTAAAAAAGCCCGGTGTGAAAGAAAACACTTTTTTTTACAGATGCAATAGGCTAAGTTTAAGATGGAGTAAATGCTCAAAATTAGAAATACTTTAAATATTTATTTGTATCCTGCAGAGGATCCCCATTTTGTAACCTGTTAAAAGTGGAAGAGTACAATCCATAAAAATGTCTGAAGGGTTTTTCAGGCTTTATGTAATAAGTGGATGACTTGCACTTGTATAGGCTTTTTTTAATAATTTGCATTTTCCACTAAAAGCAATTCGGCACAGCCAGGACAAGTAAAAGCATTACCATGCGTCTTGTGCCCTATGGCATTGATGAGGATTTGTAACGGAGCTAACAACCCATTTTACAGGCGCCCCACTTCGGTTTATTTGAAAGTTGTGCCAACAGCGTTGAACGAAAACATTTCTCGGTCCAAATGACTTTCATTTTTATGTGTTCAAGTGTCACCCTGTCGGAATGAAACAAATTAAAGTTTTGGGGATTTAATAAAGATGAGAAGTGTGTGTGTGTGTGATGCAAGGAAAAGTAAGAAGAGAGCAACCTTTTGAACACTATGTAGTCTGCTAGATAACTAACTTAATAATAACTTTGATATAAAGTATAGCATATAAATGTTTGGGAACAATTTTTCCAGTAGATAAAGGGGACTTAAAGGTCCCCTATTATACTATTTTTCATTACTTTACTATAGGTCTCAGATATATACAAAACATGTCTCTGAAGTGTTTGGCTCTAAACACCAAACAGATCATTGTAGCATCCCATAAACCCCTCTGTTTCAGCCCTTCTTCAAAAGTGCTGATTCTCTGTCTTTTACTTTAGATGAAAATAAGGAGCCACTCCCCACGCCCCTCTGAGAGATATTTGGTTAAAAAGAACACAATGGTGCTCTAGGAGGAGATTCAGGTGATAAGGTGGGCGGGTGTTACCTTGGCTGTGATTGGCTAATGGTTACACAAGCCAAAAAATCGTTATGACATCATAAAGTGGCCAAAATCTGATCAGCTCATTTTCAGAGAGGTTTTTATACAAATGGATCAGGACAAAAAGTGAGCGAATCTTTTTTCCTGAAATGTATGTTTATGTATAAAAGACAGGAAAAAGTGGATTTTGAATAATAGGTGACCTTTAAAGGTGGGGTAGGTCATTTTGGAGAAACCAGCTCGAGTGCGCTAGAATTTGAAAATACACAGCCGGAAGAAATCTGCTACTTCCTTACAGAGCCCCTCCTCCAACACACGAACGCGCACATGACCAATGAGGGCACGAGATAAGTTTGTGCACAGATGGAAGGCTGACAGGCAGGTAGACCAAAATGATTGGTCGTGCTTTTTACAGTACTACGGCTTCCACAGATGACATTTTTTAATGGATTTTTTGTCAAAGCACTTAAGATATTCATTGCTATCGGGATGTTAAGAGCATTCCATGGAATATAACAAAAAGTGTATCTCGAGCCGGTTTCTCACCTACCCCATCTTTAAGATGACGGATATTACCAATGATATTCGGCGGATTCAGGGCTGTCACAATATCAGATTTCCTAACACAATTATCACCGTATTAGGGAAACGACATTATTTTACACTTGCTCATGTTATATGAAGCATCAATAAATATGGCAAAATAGAAATCATAAAAAATAAGTATATTTAAAAAATGTATGCCTATACTACCACATTTAGGCAGATGAGTGAATAGTTCTAATGTTGATGCTGAATTAAATTAGAATTTAAGATTATTTTTCGTTTAATGCACAAATTGTATAAATACAAATATTGGTTGATAAGATGATATTCAAAGTCATACAAGATTGTGAACAAAACAAAGAAAGTTCAGGTCTTGACATTTGATGTTTGACAGAGGCTCTTGAGAAGTCAAGAACTTTAAGATACGGTGAGAAAAGTTGATCCACTTCATACTTTTTGTCGATATTGACAAAGATGTCTTTGGTTAAACTTTGGCCCCTAATGTTCTTTTCATTTCTCTGATATTTGTCAATCTGCCCATGTGCACCCCACCGCTAGGCTTCCCATCGGCCTATCGCTGCTCTCCTGCACGCTGACGCCGAGACCCGGAAGCAGCGAGCAGCCTGCTTTGTTTTGTTTTGGTAGTAGGAGTTGGGTAAGAGGTGGACAGGCCAGGAGAGACACGCTGATAAATGGGGAGAGCCATATCGGGGATGGAAGATGAAGGACCGATAACCGACGCCTGTACAATGCCGAGTTTTATCAGCAGTTTGGAGGAGGGGAGTGTGAAGTTGTCCCGCCGCTACCTGCCGACTGAAACTTCCTTTACGGACAGCAAAGTTGAGCGGTCGGTCAGAGATTTGAGCCGCCGTGTCACCAGGTCCACCTCGCGATTATCTCTGGACGGAGGTGAGCGGTACCCCGGGGAGAGGAGCAGCGGGGGGGAGAGGGATACGAGGGGCAACAACAACAACAACTGCAACGGTGGCGGAGGAGAGAGGAGGAGAGCGAGCGCTGTCGAGATTTTGAGGAGGAATTTCGGGGTGTCAAAGTCTTCCTCTCTGTGTCTGAACACAAGCAGTCGGATGCCGCGCGGCGCAGAGCATGAACACACCGAGGGGACCGTTAATAACGACGTTTCAAACGGTTATGGAACGGAACGAGGCGAATGTAAAAAGTCGGAGCGAGAAACGGGCGAAGCTGGGACTAAAAACGAGCCCACCCTGCGCGAGGTTACCACTTCTGCTGTTCACGGAGTTGAATTTGTGAGCGTTACAGGTGAGCGTCATTATACATATGACAGTGACAGCAACACGGTCACTGACGAGCCTTTTTACCCTAAAGAACACATCTACTGCAGTGTGTACTGTATCGCAAACGACAGTCAACGAAAAGACGCTGAAATCACAGACGATGTCACCTCTGACGCAACAGAAATGGACTTTGAGGCAGAACAGGACGCGGGTTCGACTCCCGAACCGGCCTTGTACACATTGGAGGACCTGGTGGACCCTTTCGGGGACATGTCTCACCGGCTGTCCTTGGAGCAGGACGGTGCAGAGACTGCAATGCAGAGTTGCCGGGTGTGCCTGGAAGATGAAACCATCGCACCCCTGCCCTGCTGCAGGAAGGCCGTGTGCGATGCGTGTCTGAAACTCTACGTCAGCTCCCAGGTTGGTATGAGGGAGGGAGTGTGGGGAAAAAGGGGATTGTTTAGTGCTGCAGGGTGTCACAGTGCTGAGGTTGAGACTGTCCCAGAAACCAGGCAGTGCTGGGTCAGCCAGCAGCTGGTGAAGTATCCACAACTAACACACACAATCTTCCCTGTCACACTCTTTACTTGTGATATTTGGTCTGGAGCTGGTCTCACCCTACAAGTTTTTGATGAGATGGGCTCTCTAATAAATTAAGGACAACATTTAATGTAATAGTTTCTAAAATGTCACAGTGCAGCATCTGCACGTATCCTCAATTTGTGATGACAACTGTTATTTTTTTAATATGGGTCACCAATGACACATTCTGCACTAAAATAGGATTATTTCCATGTCTCAGGCTAGGCTCACCTATTGAAGGAAGATCTCACCATCAGATACCTTTCTTGTGTTCTGTTGTGTATTATTGGTCCAGTTATAATCCACAATGGGGACACAACAATGCATTCTGCAGCCACAAAATATGTTTAGTAGGAGCTCCTGTGCATTGATTCTGCTCGCTACATGCACTCATAAATCAAGGAATTCAATAATAGATGGATGAAAGATTAACTTCCTTTAATGTACTGAAGCTGCCATGGCAGTAGAGACTCAGCAATGTAAGGCATATTGCCAATCGCTGCTCCTTAACAGCTTAAGTGTTTCAGGACAGATTTGTATTTAAGTGCCTTGATCGTGAGCTGGTACTCATTTTGCGAGTCGTGCAGAAGTTACAATCTTAGATCCTTTGCTACTGTTCCTATAATCTTCTTTAATCTGTTTGGATAAAACATTTTTTATCAGTCATCGCGACAGCAATTATCTTGCTTTGAAAGCAAGGCATGAACATTACTCACACAAACAAAGAGACAAGCAGGATCTCCGATAAGCACCCTGAGAATGAGATAAGGGCCATGTCAACTCTCCTGTGTAGGCGGAATTTATTTTTCCATCGATGCACTGCAAAGTTTTTCAGCACTCATGCTTGCTGTTTACTCTCAATAGCTAGAGTGAGCATTATGTCGAGAGAAATGCTGTCAAATGTCGATAGGACCCTGAGAGCAGGTCAGTGCCTTGCTCCTGGGCACTTACCTGCCTCCTCAAATGAAAGCAACAGTGTTGTGCTTATTTTAAAAGCTATATATACAAATATATAGTTCCTTACAATCTACAGTTTAATATGCCTTAACATATAAGGTGTTTAGATGTGTTTAGATTGAATCTCTACATTTTCCTCTTTACTGGCATGTTCCAAGTGAAATTTAAAACTGAATGTTTGTATAATATTATTCATCTTCTTTAATACATTCAACATGGGACATGTCCTTTAAAGAATTCACACTCCGGTTTTGATTTAAAGGTTCATCTTTTATGATGCATATCAAATAATCTATACAGGACACTAAAAAGAAGATTCATAATCATACATTTTCATCTTAAATGCAACATGTTGTTGCCCTAATCTTTAACTGATTTAAGTTCACCTCAGAACACAAATGCTACAATTTGATCACTGCTGTAATAGTTCAAACCGCACCATCATGTGCACAAACCATACAGGCATAAAGACGCTATACTGTCACAGCACATTGACACTACATAGTAGGGCTGTGCGATTATGGCAAAAATCATAATCGCGATTATTTTGGTCAATAATTGACATCAGGATTATTAAATACGATTATTCATTGACTTTGAAAACATCAATTTATTGAACTTTAAAAAAAATACAAAAAATAATTTGAACAGTATCTGTTTAACTGTTGATTACCCTGAACGTATAATTCAACTGAAAAACCAATAAATAAAAGAAATGATACATTTATATTTACATTTTAAATAATATCAAAATAATAAATACCAATAAACAAGATCAACAAATATTTTGGAGCGCACTTCAACAAGCTAATAAACATATATAAATATGATAAATACAAATAAATGAGATCAAATATGTTGCAGTGCACTGTCACAACCTAGCAAAGCAAAATAATCGTTTTTTCCAATTATGTTGTTTTCGTAATTGTGGCAGGCCAAAAATCGTAATTGCGATTAAAATACGATTAATTGCACAGTCCTACTACATAGTACTATTTTTAGCTTTAACTGAGCCTATAGTCATACTGTCCTGGGACAAACATTGTAAGCTTAATTGTTTTACTGCTTTTATCACATTACGGCTTTATGTTGGCTCATGTTTCGCATCTGGCAGCAGTGCTAACCTGTCCAACCAGTCTGGCAGTGGTCATCATCACAGCGTCACTGTTGTGACAACACATCAGCTCTCTCTCTCAGAGGATGCATTTTCATAACTATATGACAAGCTTTGAGTCTGTGTGTACGTGCTGTTGGGGTTGTTGGGTGTAACGATATGCTATTGTTCTTTGCTTTCTCTATGCTGACATTTTCACACAAGCTTCCACAGACACACACAAAGAGAAAATGCCTTATCATGTGTCAGTACAACTGGCTTTTATCATGTGTCAGTACAACTGGCCTTATCATGTGTCAGTACAACTGGTCTCACCGGCTGTAATGGATTCAATGTGAAAAATAAGTATGAAATGAGGAAGAGAGTTAAAGAGACCCAGAGAAGCAGTGATAGCCTGGGAGGAAATACAAATAAAAAAGAGAACTAGATGGTGAAAAGGAAGTTGAATATTGACTGTGTGTAAAGTCAGATAAGATTAAATCTGCAGCACACAAACACGGGTCCTGTTTTGGTTTTAATTTAACCCAGGTGTGAACTTTATGTCAGAAATGTTCTACAAGGCTGTTTCATAAAATTATTTGGTAAGGGATTATTTAAATAGTGCATCCTGAACAATATCAATTCAATCCTGTGTGCATGTAATACATATGTTTCTTAAGATGGGGACATTTTTTTTGTTAAAATGTGTGTTTTATGAATATATTTTCACATTTGAATCATTTTGTAGGAGTAATTTTTTCCAAATTGAAATATGTTATGTTCACTGTGGCTGTGTGATGTTAAGGTTGGTTAACTTTTGTAGCTCATTGTGTGTGTGTTTGATACATATTACTTTCCACTCTCACCACTGCCTCGTTCAGCCCTTCACTCATCTACCTCACTCCCTCTTAGCTTGGGTCAATTATTAACCATTCCCATATCAGTAGTGTGGAAATATTCCGGATTTGGAAGTGATAATCCACCACAAAAAACATAGACAGATTCAAATAGTTGAGCAGGTGATGATGAACGTTATGCTTAACATTGTAGTGTTACTGTCACACACACTTATGTTGTTTGTATTATAGTAAACATGCCTGAATCAATTAGAATTTTATTTTGTGATGTTTCCCAGGTGCGAGTTGCCAAATCTTACATCAGCTGTCCGATCCCAGAGTGCAGCGGCTACCTGGACGAGGAAGTGGTGATTTCCCATTTAGCCAATGAAGACGTGGCAAAATACCGTTACTTCCTGGAGCTGAGTCAGCTGGACTCGAGCACCAAACCCTGCCCCCAGTGCAGTGAGTTCACCTCGCTAAAGAACCAGAACCACAGCCACTCCGAGCACAAGTACAAGGTGAGATGACAGTTCCGAAACACAACACAAGGAATAAAAATGAGAAAAAGGGATTCCACTAACGGCTGATTAGGGCTGAAAGATAATGGCCAAAACGATATTTGGGATTACTTGGTTTATTGAGATCATGATCATTCATCAGGATTAGTCAGCATGCAGCATGACGGCTCTCCAAAATCAAATGTAGTCCAAAACATCTTAATGTTAATATAAAAAGTGTGTATTTGATATGGAGCTGCATTTTCTATGAGCATGGAACACATTTAAAACGCCATTATTACACGACTAAGTTGAATACTTGACTCTGATTGGTAAATTCTGACTTTGCAGAGGTTATTAGTACTTGATAACACACCGCTGCTAAGCATAACATCACCGTTGCTAAGGAGGATCAAGTGAGAGAAGAAAAGAGGTTAGATCATAGGATGTCAGTGAAATCACCAGAAGAAGGCACAAAGGAAGTAATAACTAACAGATTAGTGCTGCCGCCATTCTTAGTTACGTTGTTGTTGCCACGGTTCCAGCCTCTGCACATTATCCCCTTACATATCACACGCGATCATGTTCATTCAATTGTGTAAACAGTGATTATGTTTTAATAAGATTAATTGCGCAAACCTATATCTAACCTTTATGTTAAAAAGTAACACAAGCCTTGATGCACTTTATTCTGTTCCTTCTATAGATCCTGTGTAGCAATTGCCAGTTCGTGTGGTGCTTTAAGTGCCACGCGCCATGGCACAACGGGGTCAAATGTCGCGAGTACAGGAAAGGAGACAAGCTGCTTCGAAACTGGGCGAGTGTCATAGAGCACGGACAGAGAAACGCCCAGAAATGTCCGCAGTGCAAGGTAAGGACACAAGTTATTCTGATACCGTGGAACAACGCACAATGCTGAACCTGGCCACCATGTGAGATGGCTGAAGGTTGACTGATGGACGATGGAAACAATGCAGAAGAAAAAAAATCAATGAAGAGAAGCACAAGAGCACATAATGGATGATAGATGGGGGAGCTATAGAGAAGTAGATGGGTGCTCAGATTTAAAGTGCATTGTGGAACAGCAGCAGACAGTAAACATATTGGAAAAATAATGATGCCACTGCTGCACAATCTGAAAGACTCACTGGCATCTCTTTCACAGTCATAAAACAAGTCTACCCAATATCTAATTTGACTGTCAGAAGATGACTACAGCAGATGTAGACTTAGCTAATTACCGGTTTGCTCACAGCAGCAACACTTTCCATGTGTGTTCATCACACTGATGTCTCTGAAATGTCCGCACTGGGAGCAGCGAAGGAGGGTCTTGTTTGACGGTGACGCCGGCAATTTGCTCTCATGCTGTGCTTTGCTGGAAAAGAAGCTGAGTAAAGGCCCAATTTATAGTAAAGGCAGCCAAATAGCACAGATCCATTAAGTGTACTGCTGCATACATATTGGAGTGCAGTTCAATACATGCTGAAGCTGATGCTTATAGTTTGAGTGTTGGAAAAGTGAATCCATTTAACAATAAACTGAGCTTATCTTGAGTCTAGAAGGAAAGCATAATGACATATTCAAATTGTAAAATAACTATTTGTAATATAATGTTTAATCAACACCCTTATGTTCTTGCTTCGTCTACTTCTATAGATCCACATTCAGCGCACAGAGGGGTGTGATCACATGACATGTACGCAGTGTAACACTAACTTCTGCTACCGCTGTGGGGAGCGCTACCGGCACCTAAGGTATCAGAATCTTTTACTTCGAGTGCCTTTTCCACCTCTTTATTTCCAATAATGTTAATGAATCTTCCTGTCTTCAGGTTTTTTGGGGACCATACATCCAACCTCAGCGTGTTTGGATGCAAGTATCGCTATCTACCTGACAGACCTCATCTGAGGCGGCTAATTAGAGGGTCGGTCTGTGGTAAGTGTGTGAATCTGTACGTTCTTTATACTAAAACTCATTAACCTCTGTTAGTTGAAGATTGTTTTGGTGCTGTTTAACGGCGTGGCTCTAAGGATAATGATGTTGGTCCAAGCTTAAATCTCAAAAACTTGAAGGGTGTCTGTGACGTCTTGCATTCATGGTGCCCAGAGGATAAACCCTCCTACTTTTAATTATTCACCTTTTGCCAATTTAAGTCAACTTTTTGTCCAGTACTCCCATTTTTGACCAAATTCTTCTTAGACTATTGCCATTCCAATCAGCTGTACTTGTATGTATTGCTTATTAGCACATTTACACTTAAGCAAGATAGCTACAAATATTAGCATTTAGCTTAAAGCACCTTCATACCGCCATAAAGATATACTTGTTTATTCTTAGCACACTGTGATGAATGTTGACTTTTGAATTCATAGAAGTGCATATTCACACTTTCAGTTTGACAGCTACTCTGCCTTTTGTTCAGATGTTTTCCAATATGTAATGTAACAGATTGTATGAGTTATTTGGCAATGAACTGACTTGACTTCATGGTGTACCAACATTCCTTTAAAAAAAAAAAAAAACGTTTATCGTTGCCAAAACATATTCTGCCATGTTTCACTCAGCAGTGGATTATAATTGAGGGTAAGATACAAAACGTAGCAGTGTCATTTAACCTATCATGCACTGGATATAGTCCAAATGTGTTGTTGCTGCCAACCCAACTTATCTGTGACTTGAATGAATGAACCCTTTGATAGCAACACTTCCAGTAAACTTCACACTTGTAGCGGCCACTGAGGAAAGTTTTGTAATGAAGTGTGAAAAGCATTATGTTGGTTCTAATTATCCGTACATAGTTTTCACATTTCTGCATCAGCAAGCCTTCAGGAAGCTGAGAGATGTGTTTGGCTCTGCTCTCCATGACTGCTACAGCTAGTTATATCAGCTTGTTGAACTGGGAGCTAATTTGTCATTTAACAAGAAGCACTTAGCAATTACTGCTCTCATCGCTGCCTTCATGACGTGGACTGTTAGCGGCACAGATTCTGCATATAATAAGGGACATCTTAGTTTGAACAGAATTCCCCCTTAAGTCTGCTCAGCCAAATTCAGGCACTGATGGCATCTTACATTTTTTGCAACATTCATTAACATTTAAACCAAATGTAACTAAACAACATGAATTTTGAAGTTGTATTCTATCTGAAAGGAACATTTGTTCATTATGGATGATGGTTTTCTCTCTCTGTTGTTCTCTGCAGGCACTAAGGTGCTGATAGCTCCTGTGGTCATTCTGCTGGTCGTGGTGCTCGGAGCTTTCGCACTGGTGATAGGTAACACAATTACACACATGAACACACACATGCACATAAATCAGTGGGAAAGCTCCAGAGAGAAGAGCAAACAGATAGCAGCTAAATGGTTTGACTGAGTTATGAAGACAGTATCTGTAATACAAACAAGTCATGCCACAACTATTTTTGCCTTGATACAAAATTAGAATGGCGTACAGTTCTCATTTTTTCCATGACTAATCTAGAGGATAGGACTTTTTTCCCGATTGTAAAAAACATCATTTTGGGTTATGGATATACAGTTTGTTGCTAGATGATCAACATGTAGTTTCTGCATGACAAAGGGAACCGCTAGTTGCAATTCATTGATTTATTAAGTAAGACAACTGAAGCAGGACCCGCTAGTGACATGCACAACTTAAAAATGAGCGAGAAATACGAGAAAATCACATTTAAGTAAGATTTGTTTAAAAAAAACAAATACAATATCAGTACTATGAAAATATTCTGCTCAAGAAAGTGTGTAGTTGACCAGAATAATTATATTTGGTCTTCCTTAATTCATATAGCACCTTGAGATGACGTTGTTTTTAAAGTGTGCTATATAAATCAAATGTATTATTATTATTATTATTATTATTATATAGCAGAAAAAGAAAATCACAAGGTCAGTTTTTCCAATAAGGCAGGAGCAATCTGATTATAATATGCATGCAATTCTCAGGTTGATGTCCTCCCGTAAGAGAAGTAACCACTATTTGTTCTAAAAAGCCAACGCTGTTGATCCAGATGATCTCTCTGTGCTTTTACTTCCTGAAAACACTCTGCCAGCCCTCTGTAGTATCGTGAACTATTGATGCCAGAGCTGAACTGTAATTAGTGTTAATCTCTTTTCCGTGTCTGTGCGTCTGACAGATGATCCTCTGCGGGGTAACATGCCGTGTTGGCAGATCCACATTTATTATCAATCGTTATTACAATCTCTCATTTTCAGCTTAATTAATTTCACATAATGGCAAAATCTGTAGGCTGTGTGCTGTAAAGCGGAATAATCAAATCAAATACTCACGAGAGCTCAACATTAACAGAGGATTCAAGACTTATATTGTACATAAATGGAGTGTTAATTAAGATAAGTACAATTAGAGGGGTAGTTTGCTCTAATTCAAACTGCTCCTCTCTTCCTCGTGCAGGTTTGGTAGTCTTCCCGGTCTACTATGTGTGTAAGAAGAGGAAGAAGAAGCAGCGCTCGCAGGGCTCGGGGCGGTGGATCTAACTGAAACCTGCACTTCATCTAGACCACACACACACACACACACACACACACACGCTTGAAAGACGACGCCCACATCTCCTCAGGGATGAACAAGCCAGCCTGAGTCATCGCAAAAGTCTTGGAAGGTACATCAGAGAAAACACAATGGCAATGTGACCTTTTAAGGTGGAAGGAGGTAAAGCGAGGCCTGGATTATCACACTCTGTCACTTGGAAAACATTTGTCTCTCACTGGAACACTGCTGCAAAAAGAATGCAGGATATTTATATTTAAAAAAAAAAGGCAAGTTAAGCTGACTCATGGAGCAAACACTGTCTTGTGGTATGCTCTTCACATGATGGACGTGTTTGAATCCCCCCCACTGAATCTCCCAGCTGTCACATGTGCAAGCTTTTCACTTCAGTCACACACTTAACAGCATCCATCCTGCAGGAGAACAAATCAAAACAAACGTGATTCAGTTTGTGTTTACACCCGCACTTGCGAGACGGTGCTCAAAAAGCAAGCCCGTTGGTCAGCCTGATATGAAGACAATCTACAGTATGGATATTTCAAAGGTTTAAATGTTTCACAGAGTTGGAATTAAAGCATGGACACTGATGGGAAATGATGGGAGGAGCTCATAGATAAATAGCAGAGAAATGGGAGGAGCTAATATCTTCTTCTTCAGTTGACTAAAGATGGAAACTTTCTGGACCAAGCCATGATGGAAAAATGTGTTCTCATAGACGCAAAAAAGCTGGACATTTGAATTAGATGTTGAAAATTCCTAGTGTGATTCGGGGTCTTTGACATCGACACACTATTCACATTCAAATGAAAGAATTTGGAAAGGTGGAAGGATGGTACTCATCCATTCTTTGGCTGAGATTGACTCCTAGTTTTGAAAGCTGTACCCACCGTCATTTAACAAAACGTGGTCATGTTTGCAGGGAATATTTAGCCTATTAACCCCTAAATGACACATTAGAAAGTTACATTTTGCTAAGCCTCTGTTGTTTCATGTTGTGGATCTAAATCATCTCCTCCGTTATGCTTTTTTCCTCCCTTCCCTTTTGTCTGTGCCCTGGTTGGACAGTGGCTCACACATGCTGTCTGCCAGTACCTGCATCATCAGAAAGAAAATAAGCTGCTGTGCGGCAATCGTGCCAAAACAAAAACGCTGAATGTGGCGGGACAGAAGGTCGACACCGTCACTTTGTTAGCTTTCTTTGTTGTTATTTTCTAGGGGCTGCTTGTTGCGGAGGTTTTGGGCGGTGCTGCTGTCGGTGTGTGGTGGAGTCTGCATACAGAAATATAGGAGGAGTGTAGGATATGCATTAGATAGCTCAAGATGCCTAGAATTAAAATGATGGAACACACTATTGCAAATGGTATCCATAGAGGAATAGAATGAATTATATTAGATTTGACTTTTGTAGTGGGTGGTGGTTTGCTGAGAAGCATGCCGGTTGTTAGATTTAAAGAAGAGGATATCATCATGTGCATTGAAGTGTGTGTTAGGATACATTTGGATGATTCTTTTTTAGACAATCAGGTTTTTAAGAATTGATGCATAGAGGTTGGTTTGCTTCTGATTTGTGCAGTGATTCTGTTCAGAGGAGGTCTGTCTGTTATAAGGGTTTGGATAGTGACATATTGGCTTTTAACGTGCACTATAATACTCATTCACACACAGCGCTGCCAGGAAACAGGAGATTTTCAAGAGCTTTTAAAGGTCGTCACCTGGCTGCAGCCTGCTTGCTGGTCCTCACTTATCCCTCTATCCTTCCTGCTGTCCGTCTTAAGTGTTGAAAAAGAGTGCACATCCACTGAAGCTGTGGCTACAGAAAAAAAAAATTGTTTTTCTTTTGATGCTCCATTATGAGACTTTTATGGAGATGTTTAAGAAATGTGCAGCGGTAGAAGCACAATATATCGGCACATAAACGATGCTAGAAAAAGATAAGGGTTGATTCAATTATGCAATAATTCCTCACATGCGAGTTCAATGCATTTTTAAATCTGCGGTGGTTGCCAGTGGAAGATTTCAAGAGTGTTACAGCACATTTCGTCACTGAATCTTCACTGAAACCAGGATTAAAGGCCTGAAGGAAAAGCAGGGTTGATGTTCGTGCATGTGACTTGTCTTTATCCCAGGGAATGGATCTGACACCTATTCTGTCAAGTGCAGTCAAACTGTAGAATATATTGTTACACACTGATTTGAGTAGATCCTGGGATTAAATCAGCTCTCAGGGAGTTTGTTTTATGTTCACTGTACCCAGAGAATTGTTTCCCAACCATGTTTTCCCAGAGCTGTTTTGCAACCATATTTGATTACAGGAAGTGAAGTCACTGTAGTGTCAGAAGAGATCCATATTTCTGTCTGTGTTTCCCAGAGTGATTCAGTTGTTTTTGTGAACTCTGCTTGGGGGTCAGGTGACTCAAAATGGAACAAGAGAATATGAATTAGTAACACAGCACGGGGAAGTGAACCGTGTAAGCTATTCTCATAAACATGACATTTATCTTATTAACTATTGTTCACTTCTTCATGCGTACGTGTTAATCTTGCTGCTCGGCTAGTACTACACTGACAGTTTGACCTGATTTTGTTTGTGTGAATGAAATATGAGTGACAGTGTGTGGGCAGATTATTTTTAATTGTACTATTACCACAGCTTTTAAGCACAAACTGTTGTCCTGCAGTTTACATTGTACCAGCAATATTATCAAATGGTGTCTTTGATACTTAATTTATAATTATATAGTTCAGTATAAACACCAAAAATGTCGTCAAATAACGTTTTAGGAGCGTTTCGTTTTATTGGTCTTATTTTCGCTCACTGGCATACATTCATTTAAATATGAATTTGTGCTACCTAGGGATGTCACGAGAACCAATCATCGGTACCGAGTTGTTGCCATAAATTCAGATAAACGTTACTTTTACTTGTTTTTGTCAGTAGTTAGGGCTCAACCCAACGTCAGCCTGTCATCCTATGAATGATAGAACATTTGTTTAGTATGCAGGGAACATTGCACTGTGCTGCATTCATGCTGCATTCAGTAAATTATAACGTTATCACGATGTGTTCAAATGTAGTCTAGTAAAACCTCAATTTTTCAGGGAAACTTTAATAAAGATATTTTTCCCAGCAATATCAAATAGATGTTATATTTGTTATTAGATTTAGGGGTAGTTATGACCTGTTTAGCCTCTTAACATGAACAAATTACACAAACGTGGTAAAGTAGTGTAGGTTGAAGTCCATTTAACGAATGTTGACGTACATAGGATATACTGTTTTATTTCATTTATTTATTTATTGTGGTATCTAATCGCTAACGTGGGGTTTCACTGGTTGGCGAATACATTTCTGGTATCGTGACATCCCTAGTCTCACGTGGTTACAGCTTCAGGACAAATGTTGTTCCCTTATACCAGATTTATTTCACTTTGATCAGTAGAAACGTGTGTTGAGTCTGCTCATGTAAAGATGCCATCATTGCTTTGTTTTGTTTTTGTATGCTTGCATAATACTGACTTGACATTTTTTAAATATTGAGCAACTGTTTGGGTAATGCTGAACCTTTAAAAGTTGCTCAATAACAAATCATTTGTTGACATGAGCATTATTGAAGCCAATTATTTTTTTTCCTTTGCTGGGGTTTATTGGCTGGCTGATTCCCCCCGGCCTTTTTGTTTGTGTTACAATCCCAGTGATATTGGCATAAGTATGCAATAGTGCCTTCGCAGCCATTATAGATCAGGGTGGGCCAACCTGTGGTTTGGTGACTCCAAAGATTACGAATAGGGGTACAATCTATCAAACCCTCATTAAGATATGTGTAAGAACAGCTAAAGAAAAGCAAATGTTTTAAATTATTCAACTCTAATGTATGAGAAACCACTGTAAATTATATATGTAAGGATCTCTTACCCCAAGGTACAGGAAAATGTGCAGTGCAATCGGATATATGAATGTATTTGAAATAGCTCAAGATAAAACCAAACCTCTAAAATGTTACAGGTAACCATAATACAGGTTGTCAGCTGTATCCCAAACACTATTATAATTTTGCACAAGGTCAACTGTCACTTTATTTGGGCTCATATGAACCTCCCCCTTCGTCCTCTGTAGGTTAAAAAGACCTTTTGATGGCTGTCACGAGGCAGCAAAATGCTCAGTAAAGGAAGTGGTTATATGAAAACGCTGTGTCATTTTAGTGACAGTATAACATAGTTTGATTTTAACTCAGGAGGCCTGTGAATATTTGTTTTGCTTTAAATGGTGTGTCATCAGTAACATTAGGATGCATTTTCACAAAAAATACATGCCCACGTTGTATGTCTACACACTGCTTTGTTTTGAGTGTATTTCTATTCAAAGAAACATCTTAAACTTGATAACTGTGCTACTTGTTTGCACTTTCTTCCACCGTTAAAGATTTCTGCTGATATTATTACACACTTAACCAGGCACAAAAATGGTTTTCTTCTAAGGATCTGATGAAGAATAAATTAAACTGGGTCAAATGCCAAAATGGTCTGGTTTGACTGTTTTGTTTGATATGGACACATTTGTTTTTCACATATAACATGTTGTGAGTCACAGCCAGTCTCCTTTATTGACTGTCTGTTTGGGAATCAGTGACATCATCCCCTCCTGTTGTGACTACAGTTTCCTGTCAGCAGGGGTCATAAGTGCACTGCAGGCCGCACAACCGTATTGTCTTGATTTGTATTTTTTCAATATGCAATGCAGATACAAAGAAACATGCATTGTCATAGTACGAAATAATATAACATTATAAATAAACGTACTTGAACGTATTACTAGTATAACACATATTTATTGATAAATTGGCAGAAATAAATAACGACAATGTTAATGCAAATTCATTTAGTATCCTTTGATAGTGAATTTCTGTGATATTATTATTAATTATTATTATTATTCAAAAACAATAATTAATTAATTGTCAGAGCTGCATACAGCAAAACAAAGAAAACATGTTGTAAGAGGTATACAATAAAACATTCTATACAAATACTGGTGGTGGAAAAGATACAGTATTCATCCAAGTACTGTTCTTGTACTACAAGTATACTTGTACAACTTTGGGATGCTTACTTATTTCTATATTTTGCTACTTTATACTTTGTACTTACATTACACAGTGCATTTACTCTGCTGCATTTGAATTACTTACTTTTGAAGATTATTAACTTTAATTTTAGTAAGCTTTTATATGCATCATATTTGCTTTAAATAGTGTATTTTATTTATTTATATACTGTAGTCTTTTTTATTTTAATTATATGATGTGAACATTTCCTCCATCCCTGACAAACCCATCATTATTTATCCATTAATTTTTCTAAATTGATTATACAGTATGTTTTGGTGTCCAATGGGCTCATTTCCCCAACAGGAAACATGGCTGGTAAGTGAATTACAGAAGCGCGAGGCCATTGGCTCGAGCTCTTCGATCTGCCGCCCAGCGCGTGACAGCCAACGAAGCCCCAGTAAACACACTGACCTGACGGCCGCTGCTGCGCGTGCTGCTGTTGTTGCTCTGTCTTCTTGTCACGGGAGGATATTCTGCGGAGTGCACCTGGCTGTCTGATGGAGACCAGACAACAAGGTGAGTGTTTGTCGCTCCATGTTGCGCTCAGCTCTTTATTCCAAGGCGAAACTTTAAAAACAGTCGCTGCGTCTCTTGGTTGTTTGCTGTTGGTGTGATAGTGAGGCTGCGCTCGCTGGACACGCCACTCTTTGGAGGTTTAAAGGAGCGGAATTATGAAAAAATAAAATAAGGGACAAGTCTAAAAAAATGTCGCGACACTTTTGGAGCGATTATTTATGTACATGCACTTTTAAATAACCATTTAATGACGTATAAACTGGCATGTAGCATGTCTAGTTCAGTTTCAATGTTGATTAACAAACGTGCCATTCATATGCTGCTTTCAAGGTCAGCTCTTTCTGTAGGGCTGGATAAGGAAGCAAATATCAAAAGTACAGTTGGCCAGTGTGCTGTAGGTTTGTGGTACTGTTTATTCAAGACTTCATGGAAACTCTATACCAAAGTAAGTCTTGCAGCTGGATACTGTTTCCTGTCTCAGATGCTTACTGGTTCTCTAGTCTAATGCACAAGTTTTCAGGAATTTCTGGTATTTGTAGTAAATCCAATTTACCAATTTACTATGTATCCCTAAATCAATGAAGTGTCCTGGACTACACACCTGCATCTTTGCTCGCTGTGAACCATGCACAACTATGTGAAGGGTGTTTATAGTAATATCATCTTTGAAGGAAATGTAACCCTTTTATGATATTGGAGTTTATCATAGTGGCATTAATATAGAGTGTGGTACTTGTGCTATTGTAGCTACTGCTGAACATGTCAGGTGTTGCGAATTCTTCTGATATCTGCACAGGAATTATTTCCATACTCCAGATTTACATCCAAACTCAACCTCATATGCAAACGTTTGACATAAGTGGTAGCTTCACTGTTTTTCAGGCATGTTGCTGTTTTACTTAGGAATAGGAGTAGTCAAGTAGGGCAATGACTCCCACATCCGTGAAGTGGGATAAAGGTAGTGTTTGCTTTTGCAGGTAGTTTATTGCACTCCTTTGCATAGCAGGTATACTTGTTGTGTGGCTACCTGGGGGCATTGTGTCCGGAGTTGGAGGCTGGAGCAAGGCAAAACACTTTCACATTTCCCATGAAACTTTAATAACATAACTTCCATCTATAAGGGAATGATGGACTCTAAAAACACCCCATATGTTTTTTATCCAATACATTTACAGTAGAGGTCTTAAATATGGACGGAAACATAGGTTTACATGTATGTGCAGTATTGTTGCTGTTTGGCCATAATGCAACTTGGCCTCCAGTTTAACATCAATTGATTTTGCAGCCATATGACCATCCCCAGGCCTCTGATTTAGCATAGCCACATGACCAGGGGGGCAAATGAGAGTCTTGTGACCAGGGGTATTCAGCCCCAGACAAAAGCAAAGGGGGGAGAGTAACTAATAAGAGAGTAAAGAAGGGGAGTGTATCAATGTTTATCCAATAGTAAAGAAGGGGAGTGTATCAATGTTTATCCAATGTTCTGTGACTGTGCTATATGAGCTAAAAAATGGTTCATCACCTGCTTTGACCTGCTAAAATAATGCTTAATTATCAGTAGTGTTTGACTACATGTGGCCTACTGATATTAGTTTAAAAGATCATATTTCTTCCACCATTCATGTTCATGTGTTACTCTGAAATCTGTGACCTTTTCTTCCCTGAAAGCGTGTCTGAGCAGCCTAAATGCGGAAGTTAAAAAGAAGGAAATCATTGTTAGTGCAAATGCAATAACGCTGGTCTTCTTCCTCCTGTAGTGCTGGAGTATGGTGTAATGAGATGTCATCATCAACCAGAGAACAAGCGGATATTCCTGCTTAATTGTTACAAATGATCTCATTGTCATCTCTGTGGTACAGATTTCTCCCTGGCCTGTTTTTTTAAATAGCAGGAATCTGTTCAATCTTGTTCTAACAGCTTCAAGATCCGTGCCACTAAGGGTCAAACGTCAGACTTCCTGTTTCTGAGTCAGATAAGCTGCCAGTAACGAAACAGACCTCTCTGTTATCAAGTTACTGACAGGGCTGGGATGGACACTGGAGAAGCACCAAACCCCTTAAGACGGTCGATGTGTGTGTGTTTGTGCGTGTGTGTTTAACCCGTTGTCTTGTCTCCTCTCGCCCTGCTGCCTTGCTCCGCGGCAGAGTTGTACTCTGATGTTCTGAATGGAGCAGTGGTGGACTGGGGCAGCATGGGTCCTGGAGAGGAATGGGTTAACTCGGCCACACAGGAGGAAGAGCAGGGTAAGACTCAACTCTCCAAAATAAAACACAGAACGTGAATCCACACTGAATCACAGGGTGGGTGTGAGTCGACCCGAAAGTTATAGCATCACAAGGTTTCCCTCGTCTCAAGCCAATGGGATTTTTCCATTGGAGTTTGAAATTTAGCAGAAAAAAGGATCTGTGGCAAACTTGATTATGATAATGATGGCTATTTTATAAGAGTAGATGCATAAATGCAATATCTAGAAGTGAAAAGCTAACGTTAGGCTACAAAGGAACTACATCACGGTCACATGACTTCACATCACCACCCCTAAGACGGATTTGTGCCAGCGTGATGACGTTTAGTGGTTTATTTAATAAGTTGTCGTGGTTTTAATAACGCATAGAAGCTTTAGACATTCACAAGTGGGGTGTTAAGTGACATATTTTATGTTGTAGAAAAGACTCTTGTTTCATCTAACCATAACTCATTCAAAAAACATTGACTTTGAGACGAGGGAAGCTGGAAGTATTAAAATGCTATCTCATTTTCTTGGGTTAGGACTCATTCCTGCACCACTCTATTGCTGCTGCACACAGAGCACAACACAGGAAGTGGTGCCAAACCATGTGTGTTTTACCTGTGACATCACTGACTGGGTGTTTCAAAACCAAAGTGTTAACCTCTTTTTAATACTGAGATCAGTGTGACAGCAAGTTTCTTCCTCATGTGATTTAGTGTGGATTTGACTGATACTAGTCTGGAGAGTGAGTGAGTGTGGTCCTTAAGTATTACAATATTAAAACATATTTTCATAAATCAGAGGAAAAGTAATTTATGCTAGCCAGTGGTTGTTAATAAATGAAGATGGATTGACCCTTCTTGAGTGACTAAATGGTTTCAATTGGAACTACTGTGAAGCAGGGCTATTATTAAATACCCTGGATGTTAATAATGTTGTAAAGAAAGCCCAATCATTTTCTAGAGCCCAAGGAGACAGATTAAAAACAGAATAGAGGGGTATCTGAATGTACAAAAACATGTTTGTACTGTATCTGTGGGCACTAAAGATGATTGTTTCCAGTAACAAATTATTAATGTGTTACTTTAACCAGAAGCTGAGACTTCCCTTTCAATGACACTTCCTGTTTTTTTTTGCCAGTTAAGCTAAAACATTGCTAAAAGAGCACTTTTCCGTTGCAAAATAAGATGAATAAAGCACTTTAGGTTGAATCTAAGATACTGTGTCTAACTGTAACTTTGCTCAGGTTTGAATCAGGGCACGTTAAACCCCTCTGGCGAGGAATCGGTTAAAAGAAAGTCGTATGATGACGACCTGGCTCCATTGGCCCAAAATGGTGAAAACCCGACAGAATGGGGTAATACTTCACCGTCAGGGGAGGATCAGTGGGGTCAGACATCAGCGTCCCACTCTGACACCTGGGTCATGTCCTCCTCTTGGGGTATGCAACTGGACAGCACAGGTGAAGAGGGATGTAGATTAGAGCCCGTAGAGTTAGAAAATGTTTTGCTTCACTAGTTGAACATTTACTTCTCCACATCCCTGACCCCTGTGGGAACCTGTAGGTCGAGCTATAGCTGCCACTGAAGACACCGAGGCCAAGTCGTCTGGGTTTGATCTGGGCATTTGGGGGCTTGAGCAGACTACAGGGATATCATGCTTCAGTTCTACACATTGTAGGGTTTTTATTGGCAAATTCAGGTAGACTTCATCTACTACTTTTAGGTCAGCCAAGAATTAAAAAAAGGATTCAGTGTGGATCGAGCTTCAAACTGTTATGTTGGGCCTAAATAAACAAAAAGCACAGAACACATCATAATTAAACTACACCAATAAAAAATGGAAAACCCTTTAAATGTAAGACTTTATTTTTGGAGTCTGGTTAACATTTTCTGATAAGGCTGGCCTCAGTTCCTAAAGTCCTGGCATATTATGCATGTCTACTATGAAAAATGTACACAGGCGATTATATGGGTACGTTTGGAAGCAATACAGTTGGCAAGTTTGGAGAAGAATAATAAATACACTTAAAATCACAAGATACTCATTTAGCAGTGTGTGCCACGGTTGCCTTTCAAATGTTCCCTGTGAAACCTGACCATATCATTCTCATTGATCCTACCCCCACCCCCATTTAGTAGAGCGCTGAGTATCAGAGCTTACTTTGTATCTAACCGATGTTATGCAGTGAACCATGACTGGGATCATTAACTTCTTTCGGCATTCTTCACATTCCTGACAATTGGCGATGCTATGGCCATGTATCACGGTATCCTACAAATGACAGGGATGATCTCTGAAAACCAACGTTTAATTTTTTTGTGGTTTTATTTGAACGTGACCATATGATCTTCTTAACCTGTTTGTACTACTACATGTTTTCTAGATTAAAATATCCCTGCGCCATCCATTGATGTTGATAATATTAGAAGTAGCTTAAGCACTGTGCCTTTTTGTTTATATATTGACAAACTGTAATACCAATTTTCTATAAAGCCAAATGCCTTAATGTCATGTGGAATTTTCTACAGTATTTTTGGAACTACTATACGTTTAGTAAAAAGAAACCTGTCTTAGCTAAAAGAAAACCTGCGCTAGCCATGGAAAACGACGTTAGCTTCAAGACCACCTGTGCTAGCTAAAAGAAAACCTGCGTTAGCTTAAAAGAAACATGTGTTAGCCAAAAGAGTGTTAGTCTAAGGAAACCTGAGTTTGCTAAAAGAAAATCTGAGTTAGCTTAAAAGAAACGATCCTCCCTTAAAGAAAATATGTCTTAGCTTTTTAGTGTTTATGTTTTAGTGAATTAATAAAACTGTTAATGTTTAGTTGTCAGTTGCCTTCCTCCTATAATACTGACCTCAGACTGGTTTAAAGGTCTTCTCATGTGTGTGGTACCATTCAAAACAGACAGTGTGATCCGAGTTCTCCCTGCACTTTAACAGCTTCCATTTCCATCTAGCCACAGGGGGTTTCAAAATGTTGTTGTCCTGACGCTGTGATACAGAAATAACCCCCTACTATAGCGAGGCCTTGTACTCGTGTGTAGTGCTGCAATCTACACTTGTGTTTCTTTGTGTGTTTAGTGCTTGTGGTGCTGAGTCCATTTTAGTAGTGAGTGGACAAAGGTCGTTTTTGTACCAGTCTACACTAACCTTACACTTTTCCTCACCTGCCTTTTAATGCTGCCTCTTCAAGAGAGAGGACACCTCACAGAAGGTACAGTAATCCTTCTGTAAACAGTTCCACTACAAACACCAGTGACATCATAATTACCCACTTCTGTTTGCATCTCCTGGGCTGTGTGTACAGTGTGTCCTGCTGTTGCCTGGTGCTGTGTGGGACCCGTTTGTCCGGGTTTGCCTTCCACAAATATCCTGTAAAATGACAAGCTTGATCACACAGAAACGGTGAAAATTCTTCACACACCGCCTTGATTCGCTAATACAGAATATTGTCATGAAGGAAGAAATTAACTGTAACTTAATGATGGTTTAAGTTTTTTGCTGCGTCACATGTAAGAGTCAGCTGATGCAACTGAAAGTGTGAATCAGCTTCCTTCCTCTGCATGAAAGTTGCAAACATAGAGCATTTTTTTTGGAAGTGAATGTTGTGGTTTAGTTAAGGATCATCCAAAGAGTGTGTGTTCGTAACTGTTTTTTTTAGACTGCATGTAAAATAAAACAATACATATATTTAGCAGACATTTCATTTTTTAATTACAACTAAAAAGGAAATGCCAGGAAAGAATTGTCAAAGGGCCAGAGGTACTTTTTAGCAGGGCAGAATTGTGTTATAAGGCTAATAAGGTTTACCCATAAAGTACAAGGGTTATTTACTTGCAGAACTTCTCGAGCCCACAATTGCTCTTGGGAATATCGCGTAAATACTGTTTGAGCAGATGGGTATTCATCCCATGGTTTCAGAGTCATTTTATTGGAAGTGCCAAGGCAAAAACATACTTTAACTAAAATGTAGTTTCAACTCAAATCCAAGATTGCAACTTTTTAAGTCAATCTGTCCCCACTGCATCAACCGCATCTTGTTTGTGTGTGTCGCAGTCTGTAGTGTCCCACAGCATAATAATCCACATGAGTTAATCCAGATTAGAGTGCTGCAGCCTGCCGCCACAGATTGCATAACTGTCAGACACACGCATTCAGACATGAAGACAGACGGACATTTAGAATCAGACATAGAGGCTGTCGGACATTTAGCAAAATGGCAGATAGATTTTAGAAGAATCTAAGCAGATCATGTTCAATTTAAAGTTCAAGACAGTCAAACTCTTCATTGACAGCAATACGAATTATATTACATTAAATATCACAGTTACTTACAAGTGCATCCAAACAAGAACTTTCTGAATCTGATTCCAGGAGCAGATATAAATGATACAGAATATTTCAAAAAGACTGGAGAATGTTAGACTATGTGTTGTCTTTGTTTAGCTTGGGTTAAGTGCAATCTGTTCAGAAGTTGAACTGGTGACAGTTTTGAATAAAATAACAACTTTCAATCCCAGATGTTTCTCTGCCTTCTGCCTAGGGCTGTGCGATTATGGCAAAAATCATAATCACAATTATTTTGGTCAATAATTGACATCACGATTATTAAATATGATTATTCATTGACTTTGAAAACATCAATTTATTGAACTTTAAAAAAAATACAAATAATAATTTGAACAGTATCTGTTTAACTGTTCATTACCCTGAACGTATAATTCAACTGAAAAACCAATAAATAAAAGAAATGATACATTTATATTTACATTTAAATAAATAATATCAAAATAATAAATACCAATAAACAAGATCAACAAATATTTTGGAGCGCACTTCAACAAGCTAATAAACATATATAAATATGATAAATACAAATAAATTAGATCAAATATGTTGCAGTGCACTGTCACAACCTAGCAAAGCAAAATAATCGTTTTTTCCGATTATGTTGTTTTCGTAATTGTGGCAGGCCAAAATCGTAATTGCGATTAAAATACGATGAATTGCACAGCCCTACTTCTGCCTTTCCAGTTTGTGTCTCTGTCACTATTTTACAGAGGTTTTAATGTACATCTCACCGCTTGTGTATTGTTTTCAGGTTTTCTGGACTCGGAGCCACTGAGAGAAGCTGACGAAGACATGGCGTCAGAGATCGACCTAAACAACTGCCTCTTGACCGAGGAGGAGAGAGAGGAGATCCAGCAACAGCTCGCTAAAGTATGCTCACACTGGGCCATTCTCAAGCACACACTGAAGGACTGTTGAGAGTACAAAGACGGAAAGAGATGATTATCTGCTAAGTGACTCTTCGTCTGTTTGTGTTTCCAGCTGGAGGAGGAGATCAGTACGTTGCGGCAGGTCTTGTCTTCCAAAGAGAAGCAGCACGCAGAGCTCAAACAGAAACTTGGCGTAGGTTCTCTGAGCGAGCTCAGGAACAACTTAAGCAAAGGATGGCACGACATGCAGACCTCCACAGCGTAAGTCAATGTGTGTGTGCCACTTCAGAAAGAGGAAGAGTTTGCAGGATTTGATTTGAAGTGAAGGGGGGAATGTGTGTTTGTGTCTGCTGCAGCACATCAAATAATGGCTTCTCTGTTTGCTGTCAACATAGATGATATTTCAAAGACACACACACACACACACACACACACACACACACACACACACACACACACACACACACACACACACACAGACAGACAGAGCAGGGAGTTCTGTTTTTTAACAGCCAATAAAAGCTTACTTTAAAGTCTGTTATAAACGCAGATGTCACAAACCCAATTAAAAAGACATAAACCCCTGCTCCTAGCCATAGTGTTTTTGTAACAGACATCATAAACCTGATTAAAAACTTGTCAAATGGCCACACACTGCTAAAGGCTAACATTTAGCTGAACATGTCCTGACTATTGTTACGGTCAAACACCCACCAAATCAGTTAATAGTTAAAAAAAAAATGGTGTGCAGAGAAATAAAGGTATTTCCTCATCAGACCATTCGCTATGAGCTCGTGCACCAAGAGACAGAACAGAGCAAGGGGATATTCTCCAGAGGCCTCTCCTCTTATCCAGTTACATTTCAACCTGAAGATCACTTTACACTCAGTCGCCGTCCTCATCCATTATGGACCAGTGCGGCCGCGGGAGTGTAAGATGCTAAAGAAACTGGGTCCATGATGAAATGCAAATGAAAAGGTCAACACACCACCAGAACTTTAACAAAGAAAAGGGCAGCTCAATTTTATATAGACAGATAAGACCTGATTGGAAATATGGATTTAAATGCGTTGTTAGTTTGAAAAAGGGATGAAGGCCATCGTGTTAGAAAGGAAACCACTCAATGAAATACATTTGGTGATGATTAAGAAGATTTTGAAACAATTGATGTGGGTTTACTGCCTGTGATTTGGATAGTAATAATTACAAATGTTTGTAAATAGTCCAAATCTGCCTGTCAGTGCATGCAAGTGTGTAAGGAAGAGTTATGACATATTCTGTATCCATATCTTTTTCTTAGCTATAAGAAGACCTCGGAGACGATCTCCACAGCCGGACAGAAAACCTCCGTCGCGTTCACCACGCTGGGCAGCGCCATCACCAGGAAGTTCGGGGACATGAGGTACATAGTGATGTCATAACTGTATTACTTACAGAAAATCGTCCCTCAAATACTGATGACACAAGTTTCTTTAACTTTTACTTACCATTTTTTTATATTATATATATATATAAATATTGTACATTTATGTAGATAAATATTAGATATTTTAAATGTAATTCCAAAAAGGAGCAACTTTCACAAAACCCACTCTCCTCTGGGATAAATGAAGTATTCTGATTCTGATTGATGATTCCGTTTTTCTCTGAATTTAGTAAATTCTTTGACAGTTGCACTTAGCTGTACTCATCGTCTCACTCACTCAGAAAATGTGTCTTTTGCAGCAAAAAACACATGTTACTCATCACAAACTTCTTTGTATCCAAACGTATCATAACCCATCCTCAGTTCACTCAATGACTCATTTCTACTTTTATCCAATTCACAGACACTTTGTATTTGTGCCATCCATCCCTTTCCCTCTGAGATGTTTGACTCTTTGCTCGAACCAGCTCAGGGAGAATTGAGATTATGTAAACCCACAGTAAGCTGCTTTCTGTAGAGCTGAAGGGCCGGAGGCAGAGTCTGTCCTCCTCCTCCTCCTCACTTTCCCTCTCTTCTTCTGTCTCTTCTGTCAGAGACACTGAGAGTCAACACGAGTGTGTGAGCCAGCCTGCATTGTTCCGTGTGAAATAAATGGAGCATGTGTGTATGATGAAGAGAGAAAGCTTGTGCTTCTGTGTGACTTCCTGTCAGTATGTCGGTTCCTCATGCATCACTCGGGACATTTGTAGCTTTTCATTGTGTTTCATCATTTGGCTTTCCAGGCATAAGGCATAAATGTTTTACGGATGTGAGTTTTATTTCTTTCTTCTGTTGTATTTTTCAAGTTGAAGTCATTAATACAACACTTTGCAATCAAATGCAGACACTCAGACGTTTAAGGGCACAAGTGTAAAGCCATTACATCCACACATTTTGATCGTTATTACAGCGTAAAAGCATGACTTCTACTGTCAGGCTTTAAGGCACTTTAGATTCCTTCAGAAATGTAGATGTGACTGCACTTTTCTCATGTCTGCCCTATGAGGTAAATACATGCATTTTCTCTGATTAAACGGCGTGAATGTGCTGTACTACTCACTGTTGTGGCTAATCATCTAAATGAAGTGTAAGTAAAGGTCCCTCTTGAACTAAGTTAACAAAAAAACATTAGGTATTGTAGGAGCAAACGTTTTGATTTATCTTTTCATTTTATTTTGGGAGTCTGGAGAAACTGAAGAGAGTAAAAGCGTTTGATACCATTACTTTCACAACATCTGCTCATTCATTACAACAGAAGCAAGCATATTGTCTGTGTTGACTGTAACATGTTGACAGTGTTCACGCTGCAGAGACAGATGGGTAAGATCTGTGAACACCGTGTGCAGCGTGTTGTGTTGTTGGAGTATAAAGTGCAGAAAGGAACCAATGCATTATCTTTGGTTATTGCAGCATGGTTGGTCTAGAGTTACTGTTTCCTCGGAGGTACGTCCCTGAGGTTAATAGATCATGGTGTGCATAGTTTCTGCATGTTAGTATTTGCTGTGGGAAGTGTCCTCTTGCATGTCCTTTTGTCTCATCAAATATTCAACTGTCTTCCAACTGATTTTCAATCTTCTCAATGGATACAGCATATCAGCATCTGCGAATATACTGTATCTTTCTAAATATTTGTAATTTGTGTGCAGTCAAAAGTCAGATTTTCCACTCTTTAGATAGCGTTTCTGTCACTTTTCGCCTTTAACAACTAATTCTGACTCTTATTTCTTCTTCTGTGTGTGTGTGTGTGTGTGTGTGATCTCTCATAGATGTTTTTGGGATTGAGTAATAAAAATCAATCTGATATAGAGTTTCTTTGTGTGTGTTTACGATGATTACCTTTAGTAGAACATTTTAATCTTGTGAGCACATCTCTGTGCGTGTGAGATAAAGTATAGTGAAGTCCAATCAAGTTCCCCATGATGTTGTTTACTTCCCTCTTTTTAGAAATGTTCTACTAAAGTGAAAGAGTGTGACTGAAGGCCTTGTCGAGTATCGTTAAACATGTTTTCCTTCTCCCCCCCATGCTTCCCAAGGTCCAACTCCATAGGGTAAGCATCACACAGCTGATTATGTCACATTAGTTGCTCCTCGCTCAGGAGTCTTAACTCAATAGATCTCAGTGCGATCAGCTGACGGCGCTAACAGGTGGGACGGTCAGCTGAGTCTGCTGGAGTAAAGGCTGCTGCCGTGCAGAATCATCGCTAATTGATTTGAGTTTCTCTGATAAGCCCAAACAAACAGCCTCAATGTGAACTAGCTCTCACAAACTTTCCCAAGTTACAGGACAGTGCCAAAACTAGGTCAAAACATGAGACTGACCATGCAGGCTTTTCCCTTTTTGAGCTATTTAAAATGATTAATGAGCTGCAGCCCTTTGTGATAATACACCATAGATGTAATTTCTTTGTGTGTGCTCCGAGGTTCCAGCTGTTACCTACTAGACACAGGACGATTTCATAATAATAAAAACAATACATGACATTTGCCTAGGAGGTTTCAACATTCTCAATTATGTTTTACAGGCAAAGAAAAACAATAACATTGAATGTGATTATTCTAGCCAAACTTATTTAAAGGGGACCTATTATGCAAAATGCACTTTTGTACGTCTTTTAAACATGAATATGTGTCCCCGGTGTTCCAGGGAACTCACCAAGTGTCAGAAAACACAACCCTCTCTATTTTCCTCCATACCCAAATCTCTAAAAAAGGGGCTGCAACGGATCTGATAAAAACTGATCCAGATTTGAACACTGTCCTGACGTCAGGACGGTGGCGCTACGGCTATTGGGCCAACTCCACCAATCAGGAGGAGACAACCACGGCATTGCCGTTCGAAAGCGCTGGAGACGCTGTAGTACATATGCCAGGCCTGTAGATGGTGCTGTTCTCACAGAATCAACCCTTGCTAAAAACAGATCTAAATAATGTCAAATTGAGCAAAATGAGGCAAGTTTTATCCCGAAAATCATCAGGATATGCTTTAAACTCTTGAAATCAAGTTTTATTTGTAAAGGAAAAGATATTTGTGTAGGCTCACGGTCAAAGATATTTGTGAAATTGAAATCCAACAATCCTAAATAAGGTAATAATAAATCAAACCTACATACAATCATAATCGTACCCATGTATGAATAAAATTAAATTAAAAAATAAAAAGCAACAGTGTGTAAATCTGTTCTTTCTTACATGATAATTCCTGTATTTTTTAAATCAGGAATGATCAGATTCATTTTCTTCTTTTACAATAATAGCTTGATAGACAGCTTTCTCATGTGAGGATATGAACTATTATGTCGATATTGAAAATTCCCCACTACTTGTGAGCATTTTTTCATCATGATCTGTGCTTAAATCATATTTCTCCATTCCCTATTACCTACTGTAACTCTCCAGTGACACTAGTGTTCAGATGTCCTCTCCTCTCTCCATGTCATCCTCCAAGAGGCTCTGGGACTGACTAATGAGCACAATGTCAGAAGAAAGTGCTTAACGACAGTGATATCTCTATGTATCTCTGGTTTTGTGTGTGTGTGTGTGTGTGTGTGTGTGTATCCTGTGCTAATTATTAACTCCTCTCTCACCACGCTCTCTGGGGACAGCTACTCTTTCAGACACTCAATGAGCATGCCCACCATGAGGTAACCACTGCTGGCTTTGTGTGTTTGATCGAGAATCAATCTGTGTTTGTTTTTCCACTAATCGTTATGTTCCTCTACAGCACGGCGTAGTGCACTCCCAGTAAACTGTTTAATGTGTCCTTCCTTTGACATTTATTTAATGATATTAATCAGAAGAAACCCGGGGGAAAAATTGAATATCAGAGATGTTTTTTGCATTATATTTTTTTTACACCTATGACCTTTTTCCTGCATATTAGCACATGTATGCTATTACATTACATATTCAATGTATCCCAAGTGTATGTGTGAGAGCTGCCTATAAGCCATCATTGTCATACAATCTTTACATTTAAGCAAAATGTGTACTGTAGCTAATCGTTTTGTGCAGTTTAAAATAAATACAATAATGATTTAATTTTCTTCACAGAAACTCTCCCAGCTTCAAGTCTTTTGAGGAGAAAGTCGAGACTACAGTTTCTACTCTAAAGGTGAATACAAATGGTGTTTGTGTGTGAGCAAGAATTTGCATTAAGCGATAAAAAAAACATGTGTATTGATTCCACATTTCTAAGCTAGTATAAAAGAAACAAGCCTATTTATTATATTGTAACTGCATCTAATCGAGCTGAGCATTGGCTGTTCCTGGTCACAGTCACACTAACAGCATTTCAACTACCTGCTGATCTGTAGTAGTGCACTGTGAACGCCACACAGGGAAACATGTTGTTGCCTCTTAGTGTTGTAAAGTGTTAGTGAAGCAGAGAGAGGTACACACTGTAATCTGTGTGTGGAGGCCAGATTACACTCCTGACTCTCACAGTAAGCCTGCTGGTTATTTCTGATCACACTGATCCTGAGACAGTCTTAGCAGCAGCACCCTCTCTCCTTTATACTCTACAATAGCCACAGATAGGACCACGATCAGATATGAGATTTATTTTATAGTATTTTTCTCTTTTTATTGACTATATTATTATTATTATTATTATGATTATACAAACTACATATTTTTGATTATTAAATCTAGTATGATTCATTTTATTTATTTATTATATATTTTATTGCTTACTTTGTTTTATGTATGTATGGGTTTTTTCATGTCTTTAAATGTTTTCTTTGCCTATATGGAAGATGAGCATGGCAATACTATGTGTTGTTATTGTTGATAACTAATTTAATAATTAATAATGATAAATAATAAATAAATATAAAAAATGTGGAAAAAAATGTAATACTAAATTACTCAAGTTTTTTCTATTTTGGGACTTTCAGTTATAATATTGTTTCAAGGATAATGTCGTCCTCTTTAGAAAATCAAACACTTCTCTAAAACACAATTTAAACATATTTAGACAATTTAAAAACAAAAGGGACATTTCAGCGTAGATGATCTTTCAAAAAAGAGAAAGACCTCTTATCCCTTTAATGAGGGTGATAGTAGAAGTCTTTCACATTTCAACTTTAATATTGTGTATCTATCTTTTCCTGCTTTTTCCACAGACAAAGGTGGGCGGTGCAGAGACAGGGGGCAGCTTCGAGGAAGTCCTCTCCTCCGCAGCGAACGCCAGCTCTCAGGACACGCCCACTAACAACTTGACGGACGGCTCCGAGAGGCCGTGATAGAGCGGCACCGTAAAGGCTGGACTCAAAGACCAGGAACTGCTGTAGTGCAGAACGTATCTTCTAAATACTCTGACTGAAATGTTACAGAACACCTGTGTTAGATCCCTCGTGTTAGGATGCTTACAACCATGTTTGAGATGAAGCCTCCTAACACTAGATGCAACACTGAATGCTTGAAAGGAAGTTTAAGAAATGTCTTGTTTGGACCAAATGTACCCTAAATATTCCAAATAGGCAGTTGGCTGCCTTTATTTTTTAAAAGATCACAACAGCAAACCTACTGTAATGGAGGGCTAATAATAAACCCAGTGAGACCCTCAGATAATTCCACACATAACTCAACTCGGTTTAAAGGAAACATCCTTTGTAACAATCTAAAAGACATTATACATTTGACCAAGAGGTTAATGTCTTTGTTGAATTGCTCTTTCTATAGTGTGGTGCACTCAACCAATAGGAGTGTATTGCCAGCTCCATACCACAGACGTTGATCCAATGAGGTGAGACGCAGCTAAGCTTGTGAAAACAGCCAGTACAGTATCACAACTTTACTTCACTACACCTGTCGTACCAAAAACTACATTTTTAGGGTATTCATAGAAATAAGTAGTTGATAATAGTCTTTATGTTACATTTTCAAGTACCTTGTACTTTTTACTAAATGTTTTTAAATCTACATACAGTATAACCCACATTGATGGAATCCTGAAATCCTGGGTAAAACTAATTATTTGTAAACTTGTACAAATGACTTTTCAATACGACTAAAGATCTGAAATGTTGTTATGGCAACTAAAAATATATTTGATGGAATAACTTTGCAAATGCAGCCAGTTATAATGCTTTTTGAAAATAACAGCCTATTGTTCTACGCATAGCTGAATGCAAAATACTGACAGAGGCTTGCTAGAATATGAAGGTTGCGCAAAATTATATAAATCACTTATGCTGAGAATTATCTTCTTCACTCTAGCAGTTGAAAATTGACATTTTTAAACATTGTGTTGAACTGCTGTACATTAGTGCTGGATTCATACATGCATACACATGACATTTGACCCTGAAATGGTTTCTGTGGTCTTTTGCCTCTGTTACTGATGACAAAATAACATTAATACACCGATTTCTTTTAACTTCCTGGTGCAGGACAAACTGTTAAATGCTGCGAGATAACATAAAGTTTTACTGAGTATGTTAGGAAAAGGTTGGTGCCACAAAATGTTAAACATGTTTATTAATTTGTGTGTAAAAACATTGTTTTATTTTTAACTTTTCAAGTACCTGCATAACTTTGCCATCAAGTTTCAATATATATTCTCCGTTTCATGTTTCACTTATGTTTCATTTTGTTATTTTTTGCCGTGGTTTGAGAAGATCTCCGGGATCGTTTCATGTTTAATGAAATGTGTTCAATAATATTCATGTTAACGTTCATATATTGAAATACTGAGGTAATGCATGTTCTGATATTGGAACATAAACTACTGATCTGTGACATTCAGAAAACATTGTGTTTGACATCTGCATACAAATAATCACAAACTATTATAAACAACTGTTTTTATGGCTGATGGAATGATATTAAAGATTGTTTACCCAAACTAAAAACCACTCTGACTGTTTTTACACTAAAGACAGAAATGTGACCGAGAAAACCAAGATAAAACAAACCAAAAACAAAGTAGTTATGTGCAGCTAAAGTTCTATTAAATATACAAATTGACTTGAAATGACTTCCACGTCCGACCGCTTTTTTTCTCCTCCACAAGAAACAGTAAAATAACTGATTACTATTATTCTGTAAAAAGTTAGACTGCATCAGAAAATGTTTTCTTCTGTTAGATATTTTAAATGATAACCAATGATGTTATATACTGTATGCCGGATAAATGTATGGTATATGTCAAAATGGATTTGTCAATGGATTGGAAAAATAGAATAAAGCCTGAGATGATAAAACACTATCTGGGAGTTTATATAGCTCTTTAATAATTTTCCAACCCATTTGTTTGGACATTTCATTACATATTGATACGTTTTTGCTTTTTAATATTATCTGGCAGCTTTTGCATTTGTATTTTTCATTTGGTATTAATTATATATGGTGATGCTTTTCTAGGACAGTTTGGATTAAACAGATTTGAAAAAATAGCCGTATGCACAAAGTATATATTCAAATATCCTCATCCTCAGTGGTACTGCAGAAACATGCAGGTACGTGTCGTGTTTGTGCGTCTTTATACACATATTTTGTGTTACAGTATCTTCACTAAGGAAATGTTTGTATGTGTCAGAGTCAGGATGAGTGTGAAGATGCACCACCAGTCGTCTGCGAGTTCCCAGAGTCTTTTGCTTCATCCTTTTTACTCATGTGACTATCTCTCTCTTTATTCAAAGAGCTGAGGAGCTGGAGCACGTCTGGGTGTTGGAAACGACCTGAGAGAATAACAAATGTAAATATAAACAATGCAAGTAAAGGTAGCTTCAAAATCTGTAATATCTTATCTGAATTTTGCCTATTCATTCTGGTTACCCCCAGAAAATTCAAAAAAAGTATGGTGAACATTTCACATTTAGTTTGAATGAAAAGGTCATTTATGGTCAAACAGCTTTCCATTTTAAAGTGTAATCACAACTTTGGATTGTTGACTGTTGAGAAATCTAAAAACTGTTTCAAATATAATAAGAAAATTGCTTAGTTGCATATTTGTAAGCTAAATATGAAAGAAAAAATAAGCCTTCTCAGGTGCAAAAATGTGAGCAACTGAATTAATGAGATCCAGGGAAGAATAGAGACACAGATTTCAAAACTAACCTTCGGTGGAGTCGAAGAACTCCTGCAGTCTTCCTGGTGTTCCCTCCAGCTCCTCGTACTCGTGAGCCTGCAGGATCATCTCCAGGAGGTCAAACTCTTTCACCAACCTGGCCTCCGCACTGCTCTGGTTTTCATATTCCTGCAGAAAAACACAAGTGCAATATCCCACTGGTAGAATTATCTTTATAAAGGGACATGACTTCCTGCTATTAGGTATGAGGTTACTTGATATTCAACCAAAGCAGAAGCTTACCTCCCAGAGTCCATAAATCTCCTGTTTGAGTCCCTCCGGCAGAAGAGCTGAAATATGTTTCATCGCCTCCTGAGAGAGAAGTGAGATGGTGAAATTAGAGAGCCAAACACAGAAATTACTAATTTAATATAAGCCATCAATGTTTACTTAAAAATGCCATGGAAGCCTGAACAGACTATTCGTTTAGTAAAACAGAGGTGTTAAGATATGGGATACTGGTCACTTGCCTCTTCTCGCCTGTGTTTCTCAGCTTTACTGATGTTGTCTGATGGAGCGATATCTCCCACAATGCACTCTGCCATGTCATGAACCAGAGCCAGCTTTATACATCTAAAGACAGTAAGGGAAAAAGACAACAATATGTAGGTTATTTAAATATATACGGTTGATGAGCTGCTATATTCTACCTAGTATAATTAATGTCAATTTTTTAAATCTTTTTTAAGTTGCTTCCAGGTCTGGGTGTGAGCAGTGTGAATGAATCACCTGTTTTTATCCACTGTGGGGTCTGTGATGGTCATAGACATCATGGCCATGCGGTACATGTGGTCTGACACACTCTCAGGTTTCTGCACCTCCCTGTACACCCAGCCGGTCCGTGGGACCCTCTGCAGGGAACAACAACACAGAGGTAATAATGAGTTGCAAAGACAAGGGAGAACAACAACTAAAATATATGCCGAGTGATATTTTTTTCATCAGCGAAGCAAGACAGCTTCTGTTTGGAGATATTGTCTTCACTGAAAAAAAATAAAACATTCCAAAATACATACAAACATGTTTTGTATGACTGCACATATTCGAATAAAACATACATTTAACCACAAAAAAACACTTGCTGTAGCCAAGGGAGAGTGAATATGTTTTTGTATGATTGTAAACCTAATCTGTTAAGGTTTTGTACTGATGTTTTGATAACGATTGTATTTATTTGACCATACATTGACACATACAGGACACATAAGTTAACCTACAATTATTAATGTTATTCCTTCAGGTTGATAACAAGACAATGGTTTAATTTTCTTCTCAAGTCACAACATGTTTGTTTGTGTGGGTAGATGAATAAGGATAAGTTGCACTTTGGTAAGGACTAAAAAAAGCACTGCCTCACTGTATTAGCTCCAGTAGCACCAATACAATATTTTTGGAAGCCAGGCTTAAAATAACGTGTCGTTCATTTTTGACAAGGGGCCAAATCACCATACAAGTAACTTTGGGAAAGGTCTTACTTTTAGCTGTCCGATAAATTTCATGAATTGCAGCATATTGCTCATGCCGGTTGTTGTCTCTATGGTGGTCGCCATTACTGCCCGCTGACCCGGATACAAAGGATGGTGTTCTGCTGATGTAGTTGCTCCTTTCATCCACTAGGTGGCATCGTTACAACACAACAAACCTTAGTTGAAACTAAAAAGAGCCACCACACACAGTACTTACATCTGTGCCTGTTTATGGCATCTATTTATTCCAGGTATTTAATAGTTTGCAACTTGAATAAATGTTGTATTTTATATTTTTGTTTCCTTGCTGTAAAACAGAAATATAAACCAGACATTTGAAACTGTAGTGGGCAGTAACGGCAACAAGTGACGATGCAAATGTCACGAAGAAGAATCAGTTCACCGGAAGTAAGAGAAGCGGGAGATTGAAAAAAGTAAACAAACTTTTTTATCGGCCTGAATTTGTATTTCACCCTGAACATTAGCCAACATGCTGAAGAAGGCGCCCAAATTGAAATCTATAATCACAACAAAAGCGAAGACTACCATAAACGTGAGGCCGACGTCAGAAGCAATGGTGAAGAGCTAACGCGCTAATGTTGCTAATGTTTCTGAGTGCTCTGTGTTGTGGCTAACGCTGCTATCATGGCTAACAGCTAATCAATAAACAATTATGGTGTTACTTTTCCTCAGATTGAACTCCTGACGTTGATGTTTTTGAGCAACCTGGCGGAAGAGGCGAAGGCTAAAGCGTTTGAGGAGAAATCTGCAACGATCAGAGCTCATCACCTCAAAGCAGTGTCCAAGGTTAGTTAAAAAGGAAGTTCAAATCACAAGTTGTACAAGCTACTGTTGTTTCCCACTTTATTTATATTTTACGGCTAAACACGTGCCTCAAATTTCAAGGGCCTTGCCAAACCGTATATTACTATACAAAGATTTCAAACGTTATTGCAATCTCCTGATTCAAACTGCAATTATTGTTATTTTTAATTAAATAATCTCACATGTTATTATTAGATAGTCAATGTACAATAAGAAAAACCTATTTTATAGTGGTTGTTTAAGTCCAACAGATTTTCTTATGGTCCTTTTGTTGTTCTCTGAAAGGCAGTGAATACTCCAAAGGCACTCACACGTTTTTAAATAAAGTTGTTTTATTGTCATTGACTGCATTTAAGACTGCTGTGACATTTCTAATTTTCCGGAGGTGGCCCACATCTTATTGATTTATAAATTATATCTAGGCTGTATTAAGTTTGAGGTGGCTTGGGATCCTGATGGTGGAAAGGTCAGCTCAGACAGTCAGTACGTAGTGTTGCCTGGTAACGTTAAACGTAGAGGTGCCAGTTCAAGGTTCAAGGCTTTTATTAGTCATACTACATAGCTACAGTGTAGTTATGACGATGAAAATCTTAGGTCCCAGGCTCCACCAATAGTGCAACACAATAAAACTGAAAAAATAGTGCAAGTAAATACAAAAAGAAAAATAGTAAAATAGTGCAATAAGAGTCTATACAAGTGATTGGAATATGATATATTCTCACCTCCTGCGAGCTGAAGAGGTGCCCTTAAGCAAGGCACCAATTGTACCGACCATACAGTCCAATCTATCTAAAGAACCCTCCACAACAACCGCATGACTTTGGGTCCTGTATTTGCATGTGTGAAATAACATGTAAGTGGATTTATTGAATTTAGTTAATTTGCAGGAGGTTTATCAAGGTTTATATGATTGCACCCATCTTGGATTGTATTAAGGCAATTGCATTACAAAGGGTAACTAATCAAGCATGTAAACTAATAAAACACATAATAACTGTTGACATCAATCAAATTAATTCATGGTATGCTTTGAAGAGGTGCTCAATAAACATCAAGGGAATATTTTCTCAAGTTACATATTGCTATACAATAAAAAAAAAAAAAAGGTTTTACATTGAGTGCATTTAATAACATGTAACCACACATTAGAGGACATTAGCACTCCTGCATTAAAATCCTAGTATTCCAGCTAAAATGAGTTGGTCTTGGTTCTTCTATCTATAATTGGAGATGACAGTTAATCATATGTAGTCTAACTTACTTACTCAAGCAACTTACTAATAATGATTTTACATTTCTTTGTACACTTTCTAATTTCTCCATTTTGAATGTGGGATAAACGTACAAATCTTTTTTTTTTTTTTTTCTTTATAGAAAATGCTGAAAAAAGCGAAGGGATGAAGATGGGGGAAGTTCGACATTTTTATGAACATTTTCTAGGACGGCGGAAATATTTTTTCCTTTTTCATTATGCATCATATTTATTCTTCTG